TTTTGATAGCAAGTCAGCTTGCGTAGGATGCTGCAGGACTGGCCAAGCTCTCCCCAAATTGCATTCTGGCCAATTCAGCCAGTACTCTCATCCCCCCCCCTCTTTTCCTCTCTGCCTTCTGCATTGCTTGGAGTGCTTTCGGGGGGAGCGAGAGACAGGAAGATGCAAGCAGGTGATGGAGGAAGCCTGACCCACCTCATGACTTGAAAGGTTAAACTTGACAGTCATTAACTGAGCCTTAATTCCCCTGACAACTCTTAATGAACATGAAAATTTCAATCCCTTGTCGCAGATATATGACCAAGCAGATCATCCACCCTTGACTGGGAATTAATTATCTCTTTCAAGCACTCCCTGTTGCCTCTAGGTGGTGCTTGTGCATCAATTTTCATTTTTAATTGTTACTATTAGCAACAGTCCTTAAGAATACAGGTCAGAAGCAGCGAAGCTAAGGATCACATCACATATGAACATTGGGCTTGCACACAGATAAAACTCCATGTATGGGAAATTGTGTACACCGCCACTTGTGAATAGAATTTTGAGTATATAACTAGCTACAAATAATGGCCAGGAGGCCACTGTGTGCATTTGAGAAGCATTGTGCTTTTAGAGGCCTTCCAAATAACAGCTTTCTTTCTCAAAACGAAATAACACAAAGAGAAAATTCAGTTAAAGACTCTTTTCTGAATGTATTGATCTAGGCAGGATGTTCTGACCTGTGTCTTTGGAAAGCAGGGGGAAATGAAAGCAAGGACTTAAACGAGAGCCTAGAGGAAAGTAAACACTGAGTGCCGGACTATGACTTGGATTCAAATCCCCACTCAGACATAAAGCTTTCTGGGTAATCTTGGATGATTCACTCTCTCAAGATGGACCAGCCCAAGACATTTTGGCACCTGAGGTAAACCGCAAATCGGTATCCCCACACACTATGGAAGAAGGAATGAGTGAAGATCGACACCAGGAACAAGCGTGGAATAAAGATCTACATCAAGAACAACCATGGGTGGGCTGAAGTGGTAATTAAAGACTGTTGTAGGGCAGAAAGGGGCCTGCTCTGAATCATGCTGAGAAGGTGCAGAGCCCAGGAGACCCCAGAGGGCAGCACCTGCCATTTCCTCCCTAGGACTGGGAGGAGACCAGCAGTGCTTCCTATTTGACAAGAGGCCACTGTAGAGGCAACATTGTGGGTGCTGCTTGAAGAAGAAGCAGCTTCTGGTCTCCAAGGAGCTCACCACTGTTGTTGTAGCCACCGTTGTAGCCCTGTGAATTCTGCCGCCTGAGGCGGTTGCCTCACTTTGCCTCACAGGTGGGCCAGCCCTGCTCTCAAACTAATGCCACAGGGTGGTTGTAAGGAGAAGGATGGAGGACCTTTGGCCCTCCAGATGTTGTGGTTGGACTACAGTTCCCATCCTCTGGAGTGGATAGAAGTTGACGTCCAACAATGTACAGAGGGCCACAGTTTCCTCATCTCTGCTGCAATGTTAATCTTGGGTGGAGGGTATAGAGAGGAAACCTTGCACAATGCCCCAAGTTCCTTGGAAGACAGGCAGGATAGATGTGGACAGGGAAAGAGAGTAGGGGCATATAGGATGTAAACTGGGTGTGCTTTTGTAGACAAAATATCTACTTCATCTGAAGCTTGAAACAAACTGAAAAGACAGCTGGTTAAGGCATGTTGAGAGGTACCCTGGCTGATAAAGTATGTTGAAAAGATAAGATCTCTGTCATTCCAACCCACATGGAGGTGAAAAATGCACCTCTTTCAGAAGCCTTTTTCCTTGGAAGCAGCGCCTTGGTGCAGTATTTACACTTCTTTACAGCCTCCGTTCTTACAGCCTGCTTAAACTTCATTGGAAATGACAAATCTCCCTGCTTTCGACCAGTAACAGGCCTGTGATTTGCAGAGGATTTGATCACTGTGCTCATGTTTTGAGCCTGTAGGTGTGGGGAGAGAAAATGAGCTTTTAATGGTGGGAAACTTCCCCATGAGATAAGGAAAACACGACAAAATCCAATAAAGCTCACAGAGACTATAAAAGCAATATAAACAGCAAGGAGTGGGTGTATGGTTTGGAGTGGGTAGTCCGCTTAGGTATTGCTCATAGTAATAATGTCTTTGTGCTCATAATGACAGAAACCATAACAAATTGGGATTATTAGGACCCCTTCAGAGGTTATGGGAAACACATGGGGGGGGGGGCAAACCTGCACTCAATGCTCCTGATTGCTGGTTAAGCTCTGAGGAAACCTCTAATGCTGCAGTCCTACACCTCATGGATGTTGTTGAACTCCAGCTTCTGTTATCTTCAACCATTGGCCATGCTGCCTGGAGCTTATGGGAGCTAGGATTCCTCCAAACTGGTGTTTCATTTTTGCAGGTGCATTTAGTGGTGGTTTTATACTGGACTGTCCATTCATCACCATTTTATTAGTTGTTCTGCAATGCTTCCCCAATGTTACCACGTTATTACAAGGTGGGGGGGGGGCATGTTTGTGCTAGAGTGCATCAAAAGCATGATGTGTGCGTGTACACACACACACACATTTGTATTATGGAAAGTTACAGGATTTAAGCAGCAAACTACAGGTTATGCACTGATTGTAAATGAAGCAGCCTGTCTGCCCTGAAACTTTTACAGGCACAAACAGCATTGCAAGCTGGATTGTGTATACCATTGTGAGCACAAATCAGCATGCATGCACAATAAAAAGGATATCTGGAGGGGTCCTTGTTGCCCAACATTGGGTGGGTCACAGGTGCCCCATCTCTGCTGTACTCACCTTTGAGTAAGTCCCATTGAACTCAATGGAGTTAACAGGCATGTACAGGATGGCACTGTATGGAATTAAGTAACTAAGATCCTTCCCCCAACCACCACCATCAACAAGGCCACCACAACATCTCCTTCTTGCAACTGCCACTTTCATCAGTCTCTGGGCTGCTCAAAGGGAGAGCAGACTTTTCCCAGAAGGCTGCTCTGTCTACTGAAGGCCCCATGCATGCTTTTAAAGAAATCTGAGCTTTCTTTCTTTTTTTTTAAAAAAAGGTAAAGGTCCATTTGCAATTGAGTGCCCATACCAAAGACCTTGTTTTGAGAGCACTTCCTTCAAAAACTGAGGTTTGGGGCTTTGATAGTTCTATTGTTCTGCATGTTGTATAACTGGCAACGGTAGCAATTCAACAAATTGCCAGGAAAAGCTAATTGCGTGAATCATTTCTCAAGAGCATTATAGGATCATAATGCCAAGGTTGACTGTCTGAGAATTCAATTTCACAGACTTATTTCCTGCTTTTAACTTCAATCGTTAAGTGTGTTTTCCTCACAACACAGGATTTAGTTGAAGGTGAGTCTGAACAAGGTACATTTGGGTGTTTCGACAAGAGACTCAATCACTGCAGGTTATTTGCTTCTCTCTGAGATGCAGTCCTGGAGATAAATACCCCAAGTCTTTAGGAGTGGGAGAGATTGTTTCTGTGTCCATAAGGGCCGGGTGGAAAACTTCGACCAGGGTAGCCAACGTGGTGTCGTCCAGATGCAGCTAGTCTTCAACTCCCAGCAGCTGTAGCCAGCTTGGCTAGTGGTCACAGATCTAAAAGGTGCTATGTTGACTATCCCTTAGATCTTCTCCTTTAGACAATGATCATCTAAAACCCGTAATGGTTTAGGTTATCCAAAGGACAGCCTTTATCCATGCCAGCCTACCAATATTTTGAGTTCAGCTCTGGTTGTGTGCTGCCCACTGGTGTGATCAATTAGGTTGGCAAGTATGAATGACAGGGCCTTCTTAGCAGTGGCTCCATACTTGTAGAATTCTGTTCCAATTGAGGTATATGCAGCCTCATCACCACAGGCCTTCAGACAGACTCTAAGTACACATCTGTTTAGAACCACTTTTTTTAAAAAAAAGAAGTTATTGTGTTGCTGATCTGAATTGGCGCTAAAATAGTTTTAACTATCTGATTTTATTCTACTGTTTCGGATTCCCTGAATGGGTGGACAAACTACCCCAAAGGAGCATGATATGTCCCCCACCAGAGCTACTACCTCTCCCCTAACACCCCTAACGCCCCAAGGATGTGTCAGACGTGACTAAACCAGGTGAGGGTAGCCGGTGGGTCTCAAACGCTTGGAGGGTTAGGGACTTCCCCTGCATGCAAAGACAGGCTCTGGCAGATGAAGCCAGTAGTGGGCTGAATGGTAAAGAAGGCGGTTTCTGCACGTGCTGTAGAGGGAAGTGAGGGGCAGGTGGGGCTCATCAGCCTGGGAAGGTAGCCCATGATCTAGGAGAAGGAAAACTCTGATCCTAAACCTCTGCTGCTTTGCAGGATATTTTTGGGAGAATAGAAGGCTAAAGGAGTAAACCCTACACAAATCCGGCATGGAGTCCCTAAGATGGTGGAATGGTGTCTTGTACGCCTCCTTCTAGCAACTCCTGGAGCTAAACTGGTGCGAAACATATTGCTCTGCTTTCTTTTGGACCACATCAGCAAGGCAGATGGGGGCAAGTCTTGTCATTTGGGCAGCCCATACACACTGCCCAGGCTTGCACCTTATTCTCCATGAATTGGTCTGATCTTCTTCTAAAACCATCCAGGTTTGCCGCCGTAACTCCTTCGCTGAGTGAGAACATTCCATAGTTTAACTATGTGCTTTGTGAAGGAGCACTTTCTATGGGCTGTCCTGAATCGTCCAGCAAACTTTACTCCCCTTCACCTTGTCTGGTTTGTTCCCCTACCTGCAAAAGTCTCGGTTCTCCTATACACATCTTAAAATTCAACAGCTGACTAGAAAGCTAGTATCTGCTCCTCATACAATTGGAGGATACTGAATAAATGCTACAGCCACTGGAATATTCTCTTTCTCTGCCTTTTGCTTTCATCGTCCTGACCCTTTCCCTCTTACGTTGTGTACATATTTACCTTTGAATGTTTCCTCCTTCTTCGAGGGTGTTGCACGGTGCAATGTGCTTGCTCATTCCACCCTCACCTGGCCACACTTTCCACCTTGCATTTAGGCTTTAAGACCTGCTGTGTCCTTCTGCCTTGCACGGAGCCCAAGAGCTATGGCAAACGTGGCAATTAAATTGGCCAGGGAGAAGGAAGCCCTGAAAGGTCTGGGCTCCAACCAGAATGCCGTGAAATACTTAAAACAGGATTTTGAAGCTCTGAAGAGGCAGTGCTTACAGTCTGGCACTCTCTTCAAAGACGAGGAATTCCCCGCCTGCCCTTCTGTTCTTGGCTACAGGGATCTGGGGCCTTATTCACCCAAAACTCAGGGCATTATCTGGAAACGACCTCCGGTAAGATTTTTACATTGTGTTCATAATCAATCAGGTTCAGCTAACATTTCATTCATCCAAGTGTCCTCTTAAGACTCACAAGGATTGTAATAGTATGCAAAAAAGCAAAGGTACCGGCCTGCAAGAAGAAATCCAAATTATTACCATTATATAATAATTTTACTTTGAACCCTAGATAGAGTTTGTTTTAATGTTTCTCTAGTGGCCATCACCTTGATCTTGCAGATTTAAACAAGAATAGAAATGCTGAAGCTTCTTCTCCAATGGTTTGTCCTTTCGGGACTGATAAGGTTGTCAACCAGAGCATCTAAAATCAGGGATGCTTTTGGAGAGGCAATGTCTGGATTAAGGGACATTTAACATATTGCATGGAAATACAGTGTGTGAAAATTAGAGCCATTTATTATGTTCTTGAGGTTGTGGTGGTCTGGAATAAGGGACATCTGGCAACATTCAGCGTTGAGAATGCCTGGAAACATATTCTTTGGGGATTTCCTTCTGCCAATTTCTGAGGTTTTAATAAGCTTAAACTTCGCTGTGCTATTAGAGATACTGTTTCAAAGGCACATTGATGGCACATTAACTGTCAAAACGGGGAGGGAAAACCTTTCTGTGTGTGTATCATTTTTGCAGGTTGTTAGATGTAATTCCATTCTGCTCTGTTTCCGTATTAGTCTTCAAATCCTCCGAAAATACTGTTTAAATATGTATTTAATGCATTCCCCCCTTTTAAATTAGTATTTTCTCTCAAAATATTTATCCCCATTTTCTTTCAAAACATGTATTTGGACTGCAATCCTTTACCTACTTTATTGAGAGTAAGTCCCATTGAACTCAGTGAGGCATCTTTCTGAGTGGTCTTATCATCTTGTCCCGCTGATTTCTCCTACCCCCAGGGAAAGCCATACATTAGCACTCAGAGTAAATGACAATCGGGGTTTTTTGTGGATTGCCATTTGTTAAAGAGCTGGTTTTCCCTGGGAAAGGAGTGGCGCAAGGGGGAAACAGCTCAGACCCGAACTTTCTAGGCACGGGGCAAGCTTAAGTGTGGACAAGCCCTGTATCACAACTACTGAGAACTGCACCCCAACATTGGGAGGAATGCAAAATCTGGTGGACAGCAAAGTTCTGATCCCATTAGTCCACGAGCTGCAGATCAGGCCATTTTGTTTGTGCATTTGCAAGACCGCATACTATTCCTATTTCAAAGCCAAATTGCAAAAGAAATGAAAGTAGCTTAAAAAACCAAACTCTCTTTAATAATACAGTGGTACCTTGGGTTACATATGCTTCAGGTTACATACGCTTCAGGTTACATATGCTTCAGGTTACAGACTCCGCTAACGCAGAAATAGTGCTTCAGGTTAAGAATTTTGCTTCAGGATGAGAACAGAAATCGTGCTCTAGCGGCGCGGCAGCAGCAGGAGGCCCCATTAGCTAAAGTGGTGCTTCAGGATAAGAACAGTTTCAGGTTAAGTACAGACCTCCAGAACGAATTAAGTACTTAACCTGAGGTACCACTGTAGTTACCTTTTTTTGTTGTTTTGCCAAGTACATCCCCCCCCATGTTCTTTTCAATTGCTTTCCTTTGACTTCAATTTCATTGTCTTTTCCTTCTCTTGACTCTCTCGCACAGTTTCATAGATCACATAAACATAGGAAGCTGCCTTTTACTGAGTCAGACCATTGGTCCATCTCGCTCAGTATATACTAACTGGCAGTACTACATTACAGATGAAGGAGAGTCACTGTTCTTCCTGGACCAATGCTGAGAATTGGGCCTGGGAACTTTTGCATGCAAAGCCATTCCTAAACTTCTCTTTTGTTTTGGAAGCATTTTCAGATAGTGCAGAGGTCTCTTGTCAACAGCAGGGTGGATGGAATGGGGTGTGTGTCTTCAGTTGCCTTCATAAAGTTTACTGTTCAGTGAAATTGCATATGCAGTTTTTACTACATTTTTTAATGAAACAATCAAGGAACAAACACCTCCTTAGAAAGGCTTTTACTCTCCAGGCAATTAAGAAAGATTTGAATGCAATGTGAATGAAGAACAGAACAATAAAAACATGTGACTGTTTCTCAGGAAAGCAGTTGCAGCTTATTTTCAGTATTGTTGTATGCCTCCCCAATCTCTGAGCTGTATGGGGTTCCAAGAATTTATCCAGGCTTCGTGATTCTTTCTGGAAATGAGGCACAGTGGAAATGGGGGCGTCTTTGTGATACATAGGCTATTTACACGTATATACAACCTGAGCCTACGATTGAGGGGTTCATGACATGAACACTCTAAGACGGTCTTGTTTTTCTCATAGCTGCAGCCTTGCAGATGATGCTGACCACTGGGCTGTTATCAGCATAATCAGTATTCTAATGCTGGTTCTTACTGTGTTATGTTGTATTTTAACTACTGTTGTTCTTAACTGCTTTGTTCTTACTACTTTGTATTTTATAACGATGTTGGTATTTTTTATTAAATTGCAAGCTGCCTTGAATCCCAACTTGGGATATAAATGCATTAAAATAAACGGGAAAAAATTGTAAAAACAATTAAAGATATCTCAAAGCAGCTACAGATTTTTTTTTTTTAAACCCACATTCTTTCACCCAGCAATCTTGGGTACCATATGAACAGTATAAAGCAATGCTGATATTTTGACAATTCTGGGTGGTATTATGATTATTATTACTGTATTGGCCCAAATATAAGCCGCACCCACAAATAAGCCACACCTTTAAAATTTGGCGGCTTGGGGGAGGCTTGGGAGCCGCAGATGGGATTGCCCCGCAATCCCGGGTTGCTCTTTGGGGCAGGGGAGCCGCACCGCTTTGCCGGTGGCGTAGGGTCACGAATATAAGCCACACTTTAACTTTTCACGATTTGAATTTGGAAGAAAGAACTGCAGCTTATATTCGGGCCAATACAGTGGTACCTCAGGTTTCATACGCTTCAGGTTACAGACTCCTCTAACCCAGAAATATTACCTCAGGTTAAGAACTTTACCTCAGGATGAGAACAGAAATTGCGGCATGGCGGCAGCGGGAGGCCCCATTAGCTAAAGTGGTGCTTCAGTTTAAGAACAGTTTCAGGTTAAGAACGGACCTTCGGAACAAATTAAGTTCTTAACCCGAGGCACCACTGTACAGTATTATTAAATTTTATGTACCACCCTTCATCCGAAGATCACAGGCCGATTTACAGCATAAAGATACAAAATGAAAACACAAAATACCTCTCATAATAACAGCAACTCATCTCAAGATCTGATAGTGTGACTCAGAGAGTCTTCCAGTTACAGCTACATGGAAAATGAAAACTTCTCTCTCAAAAGCTGTGACACCTTGGCTTCTCCCCATTCCCAGAACAATATACCACCTGCCGCCTTTCACCTACATTTAGAACAGCATGCCATATGCCTGAATCAAGAGCAGGTTTCTTTCTTTTCCTTTTAACAAACTCCTTTGGAGTGTCTGTGTGGCTTTGACAGGAACTTCAACAGGCTGTTCGTGTTTGATTTTAGACCTGCTGCTTTATATCCGCTCCTAAACATTTAGGTTTTTATGCAGCTTTTAGTGGTGCTGTTGGTAGTTTGTTCAGTGGATTGCATTTTTATCGATTGTTTTGTGTTTTTAATTTTGTACATTGCTTCAAACTATTCCAGAAAAGCGAATACAGTGGTACCTTGGGTTAAGTACTTAATTCGTTCCGGAGGTCCGTTCTTAACATGAAACTGTTCTTAACCTGAAGCACCACTTTAGCTAATGGGGCCTCCTGCTGCTGCCACGCCACAATTTCTGTTCTCATCTTGAAGCAAAGTTCTTAACCCAAGGTACTATTTCTGGGTTAGCGGAGTCTGTAACCTGAAGCGTCTGTACCCTGAAGCGTCTGTAACCCGAAGTACCACTGTAGTGCTGGTGACAGTCTTGGGAGCGAGGACCTTCAGAATCGTAGTGCAGAGAAATAGTTCAATTTGGATATCATTCTTAGAATAAGACAGAATGGCACATCGAAAGAAATATGTTCATGAGCCCTTTGTTTCTTAGAAAGTAAAATAATGAGAACTTACGCACCTGCCTACAATTATGTGAACCATTATGCTAAATAGACAAAGAATGCAAGCTTATGCATGTTTCCTCAAATGTAATACCCACTGTGTACAGTGGAGCTGACTCCTAGGTAAGTATGCATAGAATTGCAATCTTAAGAATGTGTGCTGACTATTTTTTTTAGCCTCAGCAAATCATCCAGAGCTTAATTTTTCAATTATCTTGATGTTTTAAGTGGTGTCATCAATGATGCTCTGGTCTTTTTGTTAGAGTGGCTCAGCTGAATTCCTGATCTAGAACTTACGTAGAAATAAATGAGCTTTCCACCCCAATAATGAATCTGAAAGCATTACTGCAGAACAGTCTTAAAACTAGTTACAATTAAATATTACAAAGTAACAAAGTAACACATTGCACTCAAGTAGCAATCAATGCAGTTCAGTCTAAGAACTTCTGTCTTTGAATCCAGATTCCATTAGGTTGGAAGCTCCTTCTCCCAACCAACATGCTATAGAAGCCAACTTCTAGGGGCTGTGGGGACTTCAGCCCCCACAATAAAATATTTGAGGGGGCCAGGCCCCCACAAAGTTGATGTGCATTCCCATTCAAATAGTGTGTGTGTCATGTGATCGCTTATGCAGGGCGGGGCTTACCAGGGACCCCACAATATTTTATTCCAGTTGGTACCCCTGCAACACGCTGATTAGGTAGGTTCACATTTAAATGCACAACCGGAATTGAATTTCTCCCCCAATCTTAGCAGAGGTTATTGCGATAATCATTTAGTGCATTTGAGCAGCACTGAATTTGTAGGGAGAGCTCAGTTTCAGTAGAAATCTGCAGGTGACGAAGATGCTAAAACATCAAAAGTTAGGAATCATCTTTGGTACAGGATTTTGAGAAATGGTGTGCATGCAAATGTAATATTTAATTCATTTTTGTTTTCAGGAGCTAGTCCCCAACCCTCAGTTCATTGTGGGAGGAGCCACTCGTACAGATATTTGTCAAGGGGAACTGGGTAAGTAACTGAATAGCACTCCCCCTTGCTGTCTTCTGTGGTGTTAGGGGAAGGAGGGAACCATCACAAACACCAAACCATACATGTTTTAATTAGATGTACAAAGGTGAGTGCAAAGAAGAAGCTCCAGATAAGTCGAGCAAATAAATATCAAAGAAGCAATATGAATCTAGGATGTAAAACATGTCACTTGAACCTGAACTTTATTGCTTCTTTTGCACATGCCCCCCAATGACTAGTCTAGGAAGCTGAGGCAGGTTTCACCCTCATTTTCATCTTCTGTGTCAGGTTTCTTTTTTCATTCATTTAAAACTAGCACGCCCTGTCTAATTTAGAGGAATAAGAGACAGGCTGTCTCTAAGGGTTTCTTTCATTAAACTTTGTCTCTTTGTCAATAACAAAAATTAGTGGAAATATCAGCCTGGCAACTCTCAAGAGAACTTGAAAGACTCAGGATGCTTTCCATATATTGTACAAACAACCTGCTTTTTATTATAATAATAATACTAAAAAAACAGAACACACCAGGAAAAGAAAAGCTTAGCCTTAAAAGCTTTGCCTTAAATGCAGAATCACATCCATAATATTTCAGAATAACATGGTTTAAAATGGATCTTCAAAGGCTGTTTGCATCTGTACACATAGGTTAATACTTCTGCTAAAGCTTTCAAATGCCAAGGGCCCTTTTTAAAAACATTATTTTACAGAGCATGGCATTTAAAATAAGTTTAAATTTCTATATCCTTGCCACATGTACTTGTTGAATGCCTTAAAGCGTAATAAATCAGCAAGCCCATTTGAAATGCAGGGCAAGTTCCTTATGGCGGTGACAGAAATGAGACTTTCCATAATTTGACAGCAACGAAAGCATTAATAGGTTCATATGCTACAATGTCCAATTCTCCCATTGAATCTGATTCTTCCAGGAGACTGCTGGCTTTTGGCAGCTATCGCATCTCTCACATTGGATCAAGAAATTTTAAGCCGAGTTGTTCCCAAAGATCAGAGCTTCCAGAAGAACTACGCTGGGATTTTTCACTTCCAGGTATATCTTCCATATTATTTATAGAGTAGGAGACACTTAAGCAAAAGTAGCCAACAATGTAAAACCAGGATCATGTCCTGGAAAAGGCAGAAGGACTTTGCCCATCATGTGTTTGCATACTTTTCTGTGTGTATAGTATAGGCAAGATATAAACCAAGCAGAAACTGATTCTTCTCTCCAACCTCAGCCAGATAGTCTAGCTCTCTATATGACTTCACTCAGCAAACTTAAAAGTTATTTGTACAAGAAAAGATAAAGCATTGTGTAAAAAGTGGTTAGCTATGCCTCATGATTTTATATGTTGAATCCAGCTTGAAGTGCCTTTGATGGCCTGATATTCAATACGTGAGCTTTCCTTCTCCCCCCCCTTTTTTTGGTCAGTTCTGGCAGTACGGAGAGTGGGTGGACGTTGTTGTGGATGACCGGCTCCCCACCAAAAATGGGCAGCTCCTTTTCCTGCACTCTGAAGAAGGCAGTGAGTTCTGGAGTGCCCTGTTGGAGAAGGCCTATGCCAAGTAAGCAAATGATTCTCAGATTTTGCTCAATGGAGGCAGCTGTCATGAGGCCTATCAGTCACAGTCTACCTTCTGTACAGTGTCTAATGCTACCAGTGAATTTTTCACTGGGTGAAATATAGGGCTGTAGCCAACAGCGTTGCTCAGCTGATGGTAAGGTTTTCATCACTTGAATGTCAGTTTGCATTTCTTCATGCAGAAAGTATTTGATGTGTAGAGATCTTTCCTGTTCTAATTAATTCAAGAGGGTTCCGGAAGCTTCTCTGTGTGAAAGGAACTAGCAGAAAGGTTCATGATGTTTGGGTTATTCCTTCAGAGAAGCTGAGTACAGCTGGCTTAAACTGGTTTTTTGTTATCTCTTCTGTCAAGGTCATGCTGACTATAAAAAAAGGCCAGAAGGAGCCTGGGCTTCATTTTCTCTTTCTATCTCTCTTCCTTCTGGTGTGGTGTTCTGTACATAGCGTTAAGGTTTAGTCTTATTATAAGTTATTGTAAGTTTAAGTTAAGACTGCTGCAACTGGATTTCTTATGGACAGTGCCAATCCTGAACGTATTGGATTTGTGACCATTATGCTCATTTGCCTTCAGTAGCTCTGCTGGATGAAATACAACTGCCTCTGGTCTATTTTTGGGGAGTCCTGCAAAATGTTTAAATTTTTACTCTGCTAACTATACATTGGAACCTGCTCTGGATCAATATTGAGTAGAATTCCATGACATTGTATAGGTAGGGAAGCTAATTCTATTCCCCATCCCTCTGCAATCCCTGTGTCCTCTCTAAGGGGTCCCTTCACCCCCTGCGGCAGATTTAGGGAGTGTGGTGGGAGGCAGAGAAATTGTCTTATTTAATCTGTATGACGTGTGTGTGTGTGGAGACTGCCCTCATGCTTTTTTCTGCACTGTAGGTTGACAAGGCTGTTAGTTTTGGCTTCTTTTAGGTTCTCATTTTTCCAGTCCTAAATGCAGTTTGCTCCATTTCCACATACATTGCAAGTTCGTTGTTGTTGTTTTTGACCCAGTTTGCATGAACATTTCCAAACACATTTCTCCTAATATGCACAAAATTTGCCTAGGATATGGGTTTTTGAAATGGATGTTCATCTAATAGAATTCATTTATGCATGTTATCTGCTTTCATATACACATTGTTTTGCACATATTTTTCCACTAATGTGCACATTCTTGTACACATATTTTAACTGGAGAGCCACATTTTAAAATTTAGAGAAGTGCAAAGTTTCAAAAACACTTAGAGAAGTGTGGATAGACAAATTTCTTCACCATCCATACTGCAGGCTGAATGGCTCATATGAGGCTCTCGCTGGAGGATCTACTGTAGAAGGTTTTGAAGATTTCACTGGTGGCATCTCTGAATCATATGATCTGAGAAAAGCTCCATCTGACCTGTATCAAATCATCCAGAAGGCCCTGCAAGCCGGTTCACTGCTGGGTTGCTCCATTGATGTGAGTTACTGGCATCATCATCATCGTTTTTCTGTGCTCCAACCTATGTTGTGGTGAAGTGACAGAACGCTAGCAGCAGATATTTGTGTTAGGAACTTGGAACAGCAATTGTCCCACTTTAGGGAAGCAGCATCGAGTCCTACAGCTAGAAAAATGCACTTGGTGTTTTGACAAAAGTTGCATCCACACTTGGTCTTTAGTCAGGGGTTTGGAAAACAAGTCCCATGAAGAGAGAATGTTTAGCATGGAGATGACTGATGGGCTCACATAGAAGAGGACAAAGACTTGTTCTCTCTGTTCTTGGGTTGGTGAGGGGGCAGCAGTCAGGACTAGATCTAAAGAGTTTAAGTTATAGGATGGTAGAGCCTGGCTGAATATGAGAAGAAATCTATCAATGGAAATAGAAGTTTGATAATGGAACCAATTATCTAAAGGGGCAGTGGGTTTTCCCTCACTGGAGGCATTCAAGCAAAGGCCAGAAAGACATCTGTTGTAGATGTTCCAGCATGTACATTTGATTTCCTGCACAGAGCAGGAAGTGGGACTAGATAGCCTACAAGCCTTACAACTCTATGATTCAGAAGGAGCTCACCAGGTGGAGTCATTGTGCTAGCTTCCTGGCTGGCGGGCTGGCGTTGCTTACTGGGAAAGGCAAATGCACTAGTGGGGCAGGTGTGTTTGCACTGTGCAAACTTCCACAGCTCCTTGCCCCGCCTGGTAAGCAGCAGAGACCTACCTCCTGGGAAGTTAGAAAAGTAGCTCTGCCTCACCCCAGCGAATCACTTCTAGGATTTTAAAGCACCGTGTTGTGTTTTTACAATAATTTTATACGCCCTAGATAACCAGTGCAGCTGAAACAGAAGCAATCACAAGTCTGAAGCTGGTCAAAGGTCATGCTTATTCTGTTACTGGAGCGGAAGAGGTAAAAATATAGTGTGTGTGTGTGTGTGTGTGTGTGTGGCTCTGTGTGTGAGCTTTAACAAACTGAACTGTCATGAAATTAATACTGTTGCACAGCACCCCAAGTGTCTGAGCAGTGCAAGGTTCCAGGGTATTTGTTTCCTTTTGGAAAATGAGGCACAGTGGAGACTGAGGTATCTTTATGATATATGGTTTATTTACACATATATACAACCTGAGTCTATGATGGAGGAGTTCACTCCAAGAGGTCTTGCTCCTTCCACAGATCCAAACAGACACCAGCTATGGCTCTCTGCCTGGCTGCAGCTTTTCTCCAGCTTCTGGCTCATATAACTCCTCACTCTAACCTCTCTAAGCTCTGGGCTTATCTTCTAACTAACTCTGAGCGGAGTCTTAATTGCTCATCCCCAGGCTATAACCTCATGAGGAATTTAGCTTTGCTTAATTAGCTTTCAACACTTGTTGATTCCAGGGGATTAGCATTGTCTAGCACACAGCTGAAGCCACACACAGATTGGGCTTAATCTGGCACCCAAATCTTAACATGCCAATAACTGACTGTGGCGATCACACACAGGGCCCCCGGACGTTTGACGGTCTATTGACCCTGTGCCACCACTGAGATTGCTTTTTCCGCTGCCACCACTCCGTATCTCACGGGGACATACGGAGTCCAGTCAGTTGTTAACATAAACAAATAATCAAGTTTCTTTTTAAATGCAGGAACAAGCTTATGGTTTCAGTTAGTTTTTTTTTGACAGTTTCTTATTCTTAGTTTCTAACAACTTCAAACTGATTATTCCCAACTATCTATCTGACTCCACCTAACAATTCCTCTCACTCTCTCACAATACAACTCTACCAACCCACACCTAATCCTCCTTCTTCCTTCTTCACTTCCCAAACCTCAACTCCCAACTCCCAAACCTCAACTCAATGACTTTCAAAACCTCCCACTCTAACTTTTATTCCCCCCTTGCATTCTCACTGGCCAATCACATCACACTTATTTTAACCCTTTCCTTATGACCCATCCTAGGAGGCAAATGCCACACTGATTAATTCTAACCTTTGGTTGATCTGGAGGTTATAGTGGTCTGGCACTCACAAACTCCTAACAATACTAAATGGCACAAGTAGTTTGTGAAAGTGCACTCCTTTTAACCTTCCCTCTAAAAAACTTAAAGCACACTTTAAGACTGAAGTTTGCAAAGCGGTTTCAAAAACATAACATAACATAACATCATAACATAACATAACATAACATAACATAACATAACATAACATAACAACATAACATAAAACAACAATAAAACCCATAACTTATCTGTAGAAATGCAATGAAGGAGAAAAACCAGCATTTTAGGGCTGATATTTTGGACAAAAGTTCCATCCACCCATTGGATGAGCTGGTTACATTTAAGAACAGCCGGTTAATGGAACAGGTTTCTGGGGACTGTGTGGAGGTCCCTGGAGGTTTTTCAGAAAATTTGTGTCCGGGGAAACCTTGCTGTTTCAGGGATTGTACAACGTGTCCCATAAAATCCAATTCATGAGCCCTTGAGTTTTGTGGTAGCACTAAGAAACTTGCCATAGGCTGCGGCTTTTGCTCGCATTGCTTTTGTTCTTAATGAATTTATTCATTTATTTATTATATTTAAATATCACCTTTTCCTCCAAGTCACTTAAGCTGGGGCACATGGATCTCCTCCCTCTCCCGATTTTATCCTCACAACAACCCTGTGAGGTAGGTGGGGCTGAGAGGTGATGACTGTGAGCTTCAGGGCCTGAGGGGGGATTTTAACCTTTGTCTCTAAGGTCCCACACTCTAACCATTACACTACACTGACTCTCACAGGATGTTTTCTAAACAGGACTGTCATCTAAGAGGACGGCAACACTGAGGGGGATTATAAAGTCCTGATGTTCTGTTTGTGGTGCTTCCCACAGGTTAACTACCGTGGCCGTCCGGAGAAATTAGTCAGGTTGAGAAATCCATGGGGTGAAGTGGAGTGGACTGGGGCCTGGAGTGATAAGTATATTATTATCAGTATATATCAGTATTCACTGTTGCTATCAGTATGCAAATTTATGCAGTTGATTCTGTTTCTCCCATGTGCATTATGCATCCTTTGCACTGAATGGGGTAGAATAATGTAAATACAATGTAACTTGTCTAATTTTGCCACAGCAGACAGTGAGATGAATAATGTATTTTGGGCAGAAGATGAACTGCAGCAGAATGGAAACAGCGCCGGTTGGGACAAACACAGGACTGGATGGAAAGCAATGCTTTCTTACATCCTTAGTCCTGGGTCATCTTCAGATTGTCACACCCCCACCCCACACCCAATGCTTGTATAGTAACTCCTGAAATGCCATTTATTCATCTACTTCAGTGATGGGGTCTGTGGTTGTCCAGATCTTGTTGGATTCAAACCCCCATCAGTCCCAGACATCATGGCTAGTTCTCCTAGATGATAGGAGTTTGGGTCTGGAGGGCCACAAGTTCCCTATCCTTGATTTATTTATTTTTTGAATATGTATCCCACCCTTCTCCAAGGAGTTCAGGAGATTATCCTATGTTAGTTCCATAGCAGCTCCATGAGGTAAATTAGAATGAGATATGGTGGTTGATCCAAAGCCACCCCAGAGGACTTCAAGGCAGGGATTCGAACCCAAGTCTCCTTAGCACAATTACCACACACTAGCTGAATACTGTCCTCCACCTGTAAGATTCACACATTCTATAAGCATTTGTAGTGTGGGCATTGGACAAGATGTTCGTGTTGATTTTTTGAACGTTGCCCTGGAAATGAGATGGAAAAAAAGGAGCTATCAATCTCTTTTACATTGTCACTGGCTCTGCCGTATAACATATGAAGTTCCTCTAAAATTACATCTGGCAAAGTTAATATATCAAATGACAGCCGAAAGGAAGAAAGTAATATTAATAAGTTAGGAGGGCTATCTATTAACTCACACCCATGGCTTTTCATGCCTGGATAGTAGAGCAGAAACATATAGGAAAAAGAGTATTTCTAAGAGGATTCTTAAGCCTGGCTGAACATGGGGCCGAGCTAGACACAATGGCTAACTGCACCTTTGCATTTTACGCACATACTGAAATAAATGTAAGCACCAGGTAAAGGGAGGTGGGTGGGGGCTGATAATTATCAGCATTATTGGAAGAGTTTAACCCTTGCAGTGATCCCTGGAGCCACTTGTGTTGAGATGTCACCTTATTTTGTATTCTAAAAAAATCTGCACATTAAATGCAGTTCTATACATGTGCAATTCTATATATGTATACTCAGAAGTTAGCCCCATTGAATTCAATAGGGCTTTCTTCCTGGTAGGCATATACAGTATAGGATTGCACTCTTAACACCATATGCTTATTTATTTGAATGACTGATTGATTGATTTGTATACTACTCTTGCTCCCGTCATCCATCGTTACAAAATATTTCATACCACCATTAAAAATCTAAACACAAACTTCCAGAGCTACAGTCTTAACATTTCCATCTGTTGGGTCCCTGGGGACTTAACTCCCAAAGGCCTGGGCAGATCAATCGGTCTTTAACTGGCATCTAAAGGCCAGCAGTGAGCAGGAGAAGTCTTATTTCCCCAGGGAGAGAGTTCCAGAGGTCAGCACACCTGGAAAGAAACAGTTCCTACTCTGAAACAGAATTAACTGTACGTTAAACCATCTCTGGAAGTTTATTTTTATTATTTACAGAAATTTAAAACGTTTTCATTTGAGAGGCATGTGATCAGGATCTCCCTAGAGGAGTGGAGATTCCAATAATATTTCTTTTCTTTTCAGCAGAGCGTTCCTTGTATCCCCAGAGTAAATAAGGAATTGTTTCTGCTTTATCCTCAACTCCAGATTTAATTTACTACTGTATCTCATGAATAATGCCATATCAGTAGATAAATAATCATATAAAAAACAGCAGGCACATAAACAAGGATTAGATTTCAGGTATTATACTCACATCAAAAAGGGCTCAGTTTTAAAAATAAATCGTACAATAAAAATGATTTAAGTCAGAAATTATAAAGCGTTTAACACTTCTTTTCTATCACTTTATGTGACTTTTAATCCAGCAGTGTGGAACCTGTGGTTCTCTAGATGTTGTGAGATTCTAACTCCCATCAGCTCCAGCCAGCATGGTCGATGGCGAGGACCGATGGGAGTTGTAGCCAGTGTTTTTTTCCTGGCAGTCTTCTTTCTTCTTTGGCGATCACTTGTAGCCGAGTAAGATTGTCTTCCATAAACACAGTTTTAACAGTGAGTCAGTAAGTGACTGTGAAGGCCGATTCTGCATCCATATGTGCTTCCACAGTGGGGACATAGGTTTCTGCGCAGGAGTTGATCACGATGTGTATTTGCCAAGCATGCCTTCCTCTTAGTGTGTTTCTCCCTTTTGTCCTGAGTTCGAGTGTCTTCAAAGCCCATGACACCTTTGGTAAAGGCTGTTCTCCAGTTGGAGCGCTCTCAGGCCAGTGTTTCCCAGTTGTTGGTATTTATACTACATTTTATTTAGATTTGCCTTGAGAGAGTGTTTAAACCTCTTTTGTTGACCACCAGCATTACGCTCTCCATTTTCTGGCAGTACTCACTGGTACGCAGTACTGGCACCCTCCCCCCCTCCCGCAGCTGTGATGGGCCCCATCCAGTCTTCCCATGGCTACAACGGGCCCTGTCTGGCCTTCTTGCAGCCATGGCAGCCCTCCCAGCCTCGGTCCCTCAGGGCTCAGAGATAGGACTGCGTTCATATACATATGCAACTATTTCATGCTTAATTTGTACTGGCAAAATGTTTGGTTTGTAATGCTCTCCTATCCCTGCAGTGCTCCACAATGGAATTATATTGACCCCAAGCAGAAAGCAGCTCTGGATAAGCAGGCAGATGATGGTGAATTTTGGTAAGAACCTTTCAATCAATAGCAGAATGTAGATAAACATGCTGCAGTGCGAGGGTGACACTAGATGTGATGTTAAATGCATCACTTCTGCTGTGTCATTTGCCTTCTAATTGCTAAGAGCAGATGAAGGAAGGCCAGATTTTTGTCAGGACTGTGGCACATAAGGAGAGAGGTTTTCATGTTTTCCCTCCTTGCATAGTCCTGATGAAAATCTCCCCCTTGCAATAATAATTTATAATAATAATAATTTATTATTTATACCCTGCCCATCTGGCTGGGCTTCCCCAGCCACTCTGGGAGGCTTCCAACAAAATATTAAAATACCGTAATACATCAATGATGCCTTGTGGCGACAATTGGCTAATAGCAGTTGTGGTGGTGAAGATTTTTGTTGGACTTGCATCGGGGGAAAAATGGGATGAACACCCACAACACACTCCTGGCAAAAAACCTCATAGGAGCATAAGAAGCTGAGTCAGACAACTGCAGCTTAGTGGTAAGATAAAAACACTCTGCATGTGTTCAGAGACTGCTATGCAACATCTTCCTTCACCGGCAGCAGAAATATATGTGTGGAGTAGACCAGGCTATTAGGCTGCTGTTCTTTACAGTCATTTGGCAGTGCAGTTGGCTCTTCTCTGTCATGACAACTGTTGGTAAGAGAGGGACTTTTATCATTTATTGCCCTGGGATCCCTAGCAACTTAGACCTGGCCCTTGAAATGTAATGTGGGAATGGCAAGTCCTAGACTCTAATTTGGTATGAGCTAAGGATAGCATGACTGACTGGACGCAAGAAGACTAATCACTGAGAATTTGTAGGCCTTCCATTATTGATGGGGATTCCTAGAAGTTTCAGAGCTTTGTAACGCCAAATAATTCCCTCGTGCTATTGCTGCCTGCTGTCTCGGTAGAAGATAAATCAATGGCAAGTGGATAATGGCTTTCTTCCAGACTCACTAAGCACTCTCATATGCTCTGCTCCTATGGCAGGATGTCCTTCTCAGATTTTCAAAGGAACTTCACAAGGCTTGAGATCTGCAACCTGACTCCTGACACCCTGACAAGCAACCATGTCCACAAATGGGGTATGACTTTGTTCAACGGAAACTGGAGACGGGGCTCCACAGCCGGTGGGTGCCAAAATTACCCAGGTAATGTCACCGTGGAGAAGCCAATAACTAGCCATAGCTATTGTTGATGGGGGAAGCTTTTATACTGTAGGACTGCCTGCAGGTTATTTCAGTGGTCTCACTATTTGAGCCATGGGGGCAATTGTAGATCGGGCTCTTTCCCAAGTGCCTGTTGGAAGTGCAACAGCAGGGATCGTTCAGTTTGCAACTTAAGAGTTATTTCTGTTGTTGGTGAGTCAGCTGACCGAGGTGATGGTGGTGGAGGAGGTGTCGCGTAGCAACCAGGCAGATTGGCATGATCTCTAGTGAGGTAGCACCTGCTGTGTAGTTCTGAGGGAGTTTTCATCTGTATGTTTAGTTGTATGTCTCCCTGCTATGTACAAGGCCTGATGGGAGAAAGACAAAAGCTCTCTGATCTTGTCATCTCAAATTATACACTGTTTTTGTTCAGTTTCCCTCAGCAAAATGCTGTCAGGGTTTCTTGCATTATGGCGGATATAGGTTAGATTCAAACCGAGCTGTGATGCATGATGCGCACATTTCCATCTGGTCAAAGTACAAGAGGTGGGACATTGTTGCTGTGCCGTCCTACATTCTGTGGCAGTGCGGCTGTTTGCGAAGATTGGGATGGAGCATGGCAGAGCATCTGCAAGGGTGGGGGCTGCACCCGGGCTGGGCTGCACCCAGGTGGCGGCAGGCACACCTGTACCTGCCACTGCTGACTTCCTGCTCCCCACTGCTCACTGCCGCTCTGCTCCACTCCATCCTAGTCCTGCTGAGATCCAATATTGCTGCTGCTGGGAAAACAGCACGGCAGGCACATCAAAATTCAAGTGTTAAACTCTGCTTTGCAGTGTTCATGTTAGTATTTTCATTGCTTTTCATTTTTGTTTTCATACATTACTGTTGTGTGTGTGTGTGTGTGTGTGTGTGTGTGTTTTAAGTTCTAGTTATACATCTCATTCATTTTTCAGTATGGCACTGAAACTGTGATAAAAAGGACCAAACTGCAATATTTACCATAAAATTGCATATATTAATAGTCTAGAAATAACTGTTTTGTTTTTATGTGTCGAATGCTAAATTAATTCCTAAACCCATTGCTGTTTGGGGCTCCAGCCTGAATATGTAATTAAAACGAATAGCAGTATGGCGTGCGTTAATTAAGCATTTTAAAAAATGTTTTCAAGTGGGAAAACATTTTTCTGCAGAATTAAAAAAACACGTGATTTTACTTGTAAGAGCCATTCCTTGGTAGGTTCAGTGCTGTAATCTGGGTATAATAATGAAAGCATTCAAACTCAAACATTACAGATCACGAACAGTTGTTTGAATAGAAGCGATGCCACATTTCACTGTGGGCTGGTGTCAGTGGAATGCCGCTTTGAAATGGTTTGGGAAAGAGCTGAAGAGAAGAGAAAAATATCAGCATGTTATAAAATCTCTCTTAACTGGGAAATTAATGGCTTCAGACATACTCAGACACCAACCATAACACAAACATGCCATAGTGGGCCTTAGGATCACCACTGCCCCACTTCACATTATTTTGAAGCTGCTTTTTCTCCTTTCATTTTTGGAAACAAAACATCTTTTTCTGTTTTGTCTAAATGCAGGAAATGATTTGTGCAGACCATAGTTAAGAAACTGGGATACCCTGGTTGGATACCCTGTTTCGTTACCTAACAATGGTTTGCACAAACCACAATCTTCTCCATGTGGACAAGACAGGAAACAGGTTTGTTTTAAACTGTGAGTGAAGGTTTCACCTTTCTTCCCCTCATATGTGAAGAAGGGAAGGCTGCACAATCCCAAGCCCCACCACGGTGTGTTTTCTTATCACAATAAGGTTATGGTTTGCTGTTATGTCTGAATGCAGTCTGTTCTCATTATATCACAGGGTATGTGTCATTCCGAGTTTTTGGGTCACCAATCAAACCCAGTCATTTCTCAGTCTCAGTTATTTCTAGAGACGCTGAGGTTTTAGAGAAGAAAGTCAGAAAGAAAGGTGGCCACCTTAAAAAGTGGGAGTGAAAGAGACCCAGGATGCAATTTTGGGATAATTTTATTGATAGGATACATCTTCCTTAACATTTTGGTCTAAGATACGGGGAAGAGCCATAACTCATTAGAATTAAGCTTAGTACCTTTTAAGTCATTGTGTACTTAAAAGTAGTATGGGACCATGCAGAAGGATCAATGTAATGGCCTGAATATACTTGCAACTGAATAACTCATAACTGGGTTTTTTAATTTTAAAATATTCATATTCAAGCCAAACCTGAGAGTTGTATCTTATATGAAATGGCCCAGTAACAGTCTCCTGAGGATAAATAACGGGTTTGTGTTAATGACTGCAGCCTCTTTGAGCTGGTCACCGCTCCCCCGAGGGAATGTCTCTTAGTAGCTTGATTCATTATAACTGCAATAAATATATAGCATACTTGGGCAGGGGTGGCGAAGGAAGCATAGAATATATAAATATAATGGGAAAGCCAGGCTGGAAGCCAAAGTACAGTTCATTCTTAAGGACAATTCCCTGTAGCTCAACCTGGTTGCACTAGCAGCAAAGAAACCCCTCTCTCGTTTCTCTGGTGATTCTTACATATATTTCTACCTTTGCCTTTACAGCAACATACTGGACCAACCCCCAGTTTAAAATTAGGCTGGATGAGCCAGATGACAACCACACAGGAAGTGGGAGTGAACCATGTTGCAGCATCCTGGTGGGCTTGATGCAGAAGAACCGTAGGAGGCAGAAGAGGATGGGGGAAGGGCTGCTCAGTATTGGCTACTCCCTTTATCAGGTATATTACTCATTGCTCCTTGATACTTTCTGCCCCGCTCCACTTTCCATCAACCTCAGACAGCATGGCCTGTGACTAGGTGAATGGGAGATGGAGTCCATCAACAGCTGGTGTGCCATCAGTTCTCCACACCTGCCTGAGTGCCGATCAATAACAGCATTGCTTCTCTCTGTGCATTTATTCTGTGGTGCCACAAAATAGCGGTGGAACACATGCTGTGCTCAAACAAGGTTCCAGATTCAACCCACAGTAGCTGGTTGGAAATACTGCTCCTGGTCTGAATAAATAGCATTCAGCTACCTGGATAGATGCCTTGCCATAAAGCAGCTTTCTGCATTCAGCAAGATTCTTCAGAGTTCCGTCCTGAAAGCTCAGCTGTGAAATACCTTGAAAAGGCTCAAATCTTGTGAATGCAAAGCCAAGGCAGGCTGATGTACATGAATCCATCCCTGGTGGGGGAGACTAGTGCAGTGCACAACCAGATTGTATAACAAAAATTCTCTTAAGATGCTCTGAAATTGGCATTGGCCTCAGATTACCAAACCAGGCAAAAATGACGGAATGTTTAAGTTGGAGCAGAGATATTGCTGAGAAAGGTTCATCTTTGGCTGAGTGTGCAGGAAAGGGTGGTCACCAGGCATAACAGACCAGCTGTTCAAATCCATTAAATATTCCTTTGGTTGACTTTTCATCCAGCTGCTTGTGAAAAATATAGAGCCACCATCTTTCACCAGGCCTTTATGTCTCTTCCCCTTTATATGTCTCTTGCAGGTGCCAAAAGAGGTACATAAACTGTGCTGGAAATATGCATTCTCCAAAATAAAAAGATCATCTACTGCTTCTTGAAGGCTGATGTGCCCCAAACTGACAATTGCCTTGCTGACATATGAGGGACATTTGGTTTCTAAGGGCGTATGCTGACTATTTTTGGAAGGAAGGAAAGAAAACTTTTAACTTAAGGGCTTATTTGCGGGGAAAGTGGTCCTAAGATGGCAGTTCAGAGGTGTTTAATGTGCTTTTCATCTCCCATTACATTGCTTCTTTGAAAGGAGGCTTTCCTGAATGTCAGATTTGTTGGTTCAGCACACCACACCTCAAGCATATGTGGACTGACCACGGGGGAGGGTTATATGTAACCCAAATAATTGCTCATAAAGGATTTATTTAAGTTTGCTGGGTGTAGGGCAGGGGGAGAAAAGAACACTAAAGTTTAAAAACAAATAAATTGTGTGGTACAGAAATAGGGATTGGGAGAGAATTTCCACATTTTATCAGAATATTAGAAGTCAAGGTCACCCAATTAAATTGACTTGTCCTAGATCCAGGATGGATAAAAGAAGTACTTCCCACAACACACTTATGATGCTTAACTGCTGCAAGTGATGGCTATGAGTTTAGACCAGGCATAGGCAAACCCGGCCCTTCAGATGTTTTGGGACTACAGATCCCATCATTTCTGACCACTGGTCCTGTTAGCTAGGGATGATGGGAGTTGTAGTCCCAAAACATCTGGAGGGCTGAGTTTGCCTATGCCTGGTTTATACAAAGAAAATAAAAAAGGAGGAGGCCTATCAGTGGCTATTAGCCATGGTGGTTGAATAGAACCCCCCCCCCCGCCATTTTCCCTAAGTCAGTATACCTCCAGATACCAGCTGCTGGAGGCAACCCCCCCCCCCGAGGGCTATTGCTTTTATTTTCTGTGCTTGTGGGCTTCTTGAAGGCACCTGTTGGCCATTGTCAGAAACAGGATGGTAGGCTAGGTAGACTTTTGGTCTGGTCCAGCAAGGAACTTCTTTCGGAGTGGTGGTTGTATAAAACCATGCATGCCACGCTGCTGCTGCTGCTGCTGCTGCTAGTGCTACTACTGTGTGTGTGTGTGTGTTTAGAAGTAGTAGTGCTTCCCCACACTTCCAGTTTGCTACTGTATTGCACAAACCACATCGCAGGAAGAGAAGCTTAGAGCTAAGTGAGCAAGTTAAGGGAAAGGTGACATCCTCCTGTTGGAACCCAGCTGCTCTAAACAAATTCAGCTGTTGCTTTCCACAACAATGCCTAAGAATCACAGCAATGCATATTGTAAAGATATTCTAGGCTATAATTCTGCATCAGACCAGCATGGGAAGTTGCACCTGATTCCAGTTGCTAATGTATGTTTGCTGTTTGACATTTCTAGTTAAGAGATATATGCTATCAGTAGACAATGGAGTACACCCTGTTTCAAACAAACTCCACCTTGCCTTAATGAGTCACATTTTGAAATGCAAGCTCACGCTGCAAAGGCACTGTTTAAACATTTATTGTTTTGCTTTTGTGCTTTTGTTCAATTTAAGGCACCCAATTTCCTCTTATAACTCATGCAGAGCTTTGGAACAGATTTGTATTATCAGTTATAATATAAAGATGCTTGTATGTTGCAAGCTCGGATAGTAGATTAGCATTTGGTGGAAGGTGCAGAAGAAAATGAGCTGTGGAAAAGCTGCTTTCTTGAGATTTATACAGGCTGAAGGTACGTCTACACACTGTGGAAAGCACCTCATGTTTTTGATAAACTTAATATGCCAACTCATCAGTTTGTAGGGAAAACTTTGTAGGAAGAAGATTATGGAGATGGCAGGGGGATGGCAAGAGACTGGTGAAGCAGAGATTAAATCTCATTTAGAGAGCAGCTGTGTGCCACATGCTAGTTATGGCTGTCTCAAAACAGCAGACCCAGTTATTTGAAACACTTAACTTAGGCTGTGTGTACACCATAAATGAAAAGTGTATTTAAAGCACATAGCTTCCTTCAAAGAATCCTGGGTGTAGTTTAACCTTCATAGAGCTACAATTCCCAGCACCCTCAACAAACAACAGTTCCCAGGATTATTTGGGGGAAGCCACATGCTGTAAAGGGACGCGGGTGGCGCTGTGGGTTAAACCACAGAGCCTAGGCTTGCCGATTGGAAGGTCGGCGGTTCGAATCCCTGCGACGGGGTGAGCTCCCATTGTTCGGTCCCTGCTCTTGCCAACCTAGCAGTTTGAAAGCACATCATAGTGCAAGTAGATAAATAGGTACCGCTCCGGCGGGAAGGTAAACGGCATTTCCGTGTGCTGCTCTGGTTCACCAGAAGCGGCTTAGTCATGCTGGCCACATGACCTGGAAGCTGTATGCCTGCTCCCTCGGCAATAAAGCGAGATGAGCACCGCAACCCCAGAGTCGGTCACAACTGGACCTAATGGTCAGGGGTCCCTTTACCTTTGCCTTTACATGCTGTAAATGCCCTGCTGGATCACATCAGAGACTTATCTAGTTCAGTATCCTGTTCTCACAATGGCCAGCCAGATGCCATTTGGGAAGCCCATAAGCAGGACATGAACACAGCAGCAGCATCTTCCTTGTGTTCCCTGGTAACTGGCATTATGAGCCCTAAATACCTCTAGAACTTGAGGCAATATATAGTCATCCCAGTTAGTGGCCATTGATAGACTTCTCCTCCACTAATTTGTCTAATTTATTGGTTTGTTTTAGTGTTTGTTTTATGCATTTTGTGTTCTCATTTAGTATTATGTTGCAAACCACCCTGTAATTTTTGGATGAAGGGCGGTATATAAAATTTAATAATAACATAAACAAATAACAAATGAATAATCCTGTTTTGCTGTTGGCGGCCATCACAACATCCTAGCAGGTGAACCTTGGTGGCCAGCAAGGAATATGTGCAGGACAAAGTTGAGAGGAGACCCAGTATGTTGACTGGGGAAAGGTTACCTGGTTTATGCTCCCACTTGGATGGAATTGTTTCTTGTGTCCTATGTCTTGCTAGCTGTTTTATCCTGATTTTTCATTCTCACTGTTCTCACTAGCTGGGAAATCAAACTGATGTTCATCTAAGCAGAGATTTCTTCTTGACGAACCGACCTGTCGCTCGCACCGACACATACGTCAACTTGCGTGAAGTCTCAAACCGCTTCCACCTAGCTCAGGGAGAATACCTCATTGTACCTTCTACATTTGAGCCTTTCAAAGATGGAGACTTCTGCCTTAGAGTCTTCACAGAGAAACAGGCTAAAGCTCAGTATGTATCTTGTACCCCAATGTGCCAAAAGGCATTGTCCCTTTGCACTCAGTGCATCAAAGCTGTGGCTTGATCAGGTGTCTAATCAGGCTTATAGCTCATGACCCCCCCTTTTTTTTGCTCTCTAAGTTCTCATTAGGGAGGAATGACTATTCAACCATGTTCCATTATGCCTCTGTTGGCATAGTGACTGAAGTGATATAATAAAAGACGAATGAAAAGATAGTTGGGGTGGATCTTGGAGTTTGGTGAAGAAAACTTTAATTTATATGCATAGACATTTTGCTTGTTTGTTTGTTTGTTTGCTGCCCTTGACCATAAGGTCCAGGGTGGATTACAGCATTAAACACCACATTAAAAACAGTTTAAAACAACTTGCAATCATAACAACAAACAGTTTACAAGAAAAGTGGTGGTGGTGAGAACACCTCCACTCACTGATTTCCCCATTCCTTTTTAAATCCCCTTTCCTTCACCAGAACCTATTTAGCATGTTTTTCTTTGGACGACAATCAAATATTCAATTAGTTTGAAAATGTTCCTTTTATGGACCAGGGTAGAAGTTAAGTCCATGTCAGATGGAAACAGCAAAAGCAAGTGTACACAATTTGGTTCTGGAGTATTAAGGTGAATGAACCATTTTGTCCCTAGTAGATAAAGGATCTTGCATGGTTACCTTAAGGCTGAGATAGCCAGTGCGGTCCCCTTCAGATATTATTAGAATTCCATGAGTCTGTGTCTAATGATAATGGATGATGGGAGTTGTAGTCCAGCAATGTCTGGAGCGTGCTATGTGGGCTAGCTCTCATCTGCTCCCATACAGACAATCTCAGGCTTTAAGGTCTGCCTCAGGCCCGCCACTCTCTATACCTTCATCTTGGATCATCAGGCAAGTAAGCATGAGTGTCAGGGCCTTCTCAGTGGTGGTACTGCACCTCTGGAGTAACCTTCCACTGGAGATGCATCGGAATATCTCTCTACTGTCTTTTTAGAGAGACACCAAAAACATTTCTGTTTCAACAGGGATTTAATGTTTGATCGTGTTACTGTTTTAAACTGTTCTTAAAACAAACAAAACTATTGTAAGATTGTTATCATTTTAAGTTGCGGCATTTTAAAGCTTTTATCTTAGTAGTTTGATTTTACTTAATTGTATTGGGCTGCAATTTATTTTAATGGGCCCATTCTAAGCATGACTAAACCAAGATTCAGCACACTGAAATTTTTGATGTAAGCTATTTCTGAGTGTTTCTCTGATAAGGAGAACAGGATATTTAATTATATTCTTCTTATTATTATTTTTTCCTCACAGGGAAATGGGTGATACTGTGGCTGCAAATCCATATGAGGTAAGCAAATCAAGTGGGGTCAAATTCACAGATTCAGCTTTGGGATACAGAGCCTTATTACTGCAAAAGCTGAGGACCTCTTTGTTGTAGCCCAGAAAGTGTTGTACGCTAAAGAAAATAGTTCTTTCTTTGCATCCATAAGGCTTAATTCACTGACTTCTTTGCACAACTCGTTTCTGGAGAAGCAAAATTCTGCACCATAAAGCCTAAGATCAATCACAATGTTTGACAAACGTAGCAGAGATGACAGACTTCCGCTTAGCAAAAGCAACCTTTTAAGTTTCTGTGCTTACTGAGCCAGCTTCTCAGGTTTCTGTTCCTTTCAGAGCTTATTTTGACTCAGGAGCCCTTTGGAGGAAGCCTCAGACCTCGGTGTAAAATGTAACATTATTCATGATTTCTTTTAGCCTCATGTTGCAGGCAAGGACATAGACAGCGAGTTCAAGAGCCTGTTTCAAAAACTTTCTGGGGAGGTAAGAGGGTTTCTGTGCTATGATAAATATTCATACCAGGGAGAAGAGTCGGGGGAAGAAGATTGGAAGAAATTTAAAGACTATTTACAGAAATATTGCAAAATTAATGAATGTTAGAATGATGTCAGAATGAAATTAAGTGGTCTTAGCAGCAATGTTATAAAGGTGTATGTACAAATGGATTGTTAACAGATGAGAATCTAAAGTTATAATATGTTAAGTTAAAGGATTAAGACAAAAACAAAGAGGGAAAGGAATTGCTGAATTAACTAATAGAACTGGAATACAAAAAAGGGAGGTGTGAGGAAGTCAGGGAAGTAAGGAAATGAAATGTAAGTTATGGAAAGATTGATGTGTTTTTCTTTTAAGTGTTTTCTATCTTTTTTCTGTATTTTGTATTTTGTATTTTTTATTTCTTTTTCTTTTTCTTTTCTTTTTACCTATGTAATTTTTTCTTTGAAACTTTAATAAATATCATTTAAAAAAAATATATGATAAATATTCAGAATTAGGCAAATGCTTCAAAGATTTCCCAGTGCATTGGCTGCTTCTTTTTACTAACACAGTTGGCAGTAGACTCCTGGAGAGCCGCTTTTCTCGTTCTCAGTCTTTTTATTCCTGCACCATGTTCACCATCACTTGATGGGGGAACTGACAGAGAGGAAACTGGTCCTTTAAGCATACCCCTCCCCAGGAAAGAGGAAGGACCTGAGAGAGGTGTTCTGGGCTGAGAAGCACAAAAGGCCTTATTTGAACTTTAGACGTCATTGGACCAAATTGGCCACTTGGAGCTCTCTCAGGTCCTGAAGTCTGATCTTATCTGTCCCCTGGCAACTTAATATGCTCCTGCTCAAGAACAGGACAATGAGGAAACAGCGCCTTGTAGACCCCAATTGCCTTCTTTTTAACCTATTCTACATATCAATGTGCCACAGAGGAAAATCGGGATGCGGGTCTTTTGGGGCCGCGCTCCTGCACGAGTCATGTGATTCACGGAAGAATATGACCCTCCCCCAAAACCCCACATGTCTTTCAGAGCCGTGCTCTTGTGGCACCCAGGTGACCTTCACAATAGCACGGTTCCCCCAAAAAGGCATCTTTTGGGGCTGCGCTCTTTCAGGAGCCAAAAGAGGACATCTTGGAATCCAGGCAAAAGGCAGAGGGCCTTTTTGGTAGTGGCACCTGCCCTGTGGAATGTACTCCCAACAGATGTCAAGGAAATAAACAACTATTTGACTTTTAGAAGACATCTGAAGGCAGCCCTGATTATGGAAGTTTTTAATGTTTAATGTTTTATTGTGTTTTTAATATCCTGTTGAAAGCCACCCCGAGTGGCTGGGGATGCCCAGGGTATAAGTAATATTCTTCTTCTTCTTCTTCTTCTTCTTCTTCTTCTTCTTCTTCTTCTTCCAGGATGTCCCACTTAAAGTAGGACAGTTGATAGACATGATTCTAAACACTGCCCTCCAAATCCAGTAGCTGTAACGTGCATATAGGACATCACTGTGGATACCAATCTACAGTAAGCCAGGGCCTTGTCCCATTTACTTCTATGGGAGAAAGAGCCCTTCCCTGGAATGGGAGTGTGCTTATGGAGCTATTCTGACATTTGAAGAGAATAGGGTTACCAGCCCTATATACAAGGGATGCGGAACTTGTGGTCCTCCAGATGTTGCTAGATTCTGACCCCCATCAGCCCCAGACAGCATGGTCACTGGCCAAAGATGATGGGATTTATAGTCCAGCAACATTTGGAGTGCCACAAGTTCACCATCTCTACTATATACTATGCACCAGCTTCATTGTGTAGTTACATTCCTTATCAACAGTGTGAGCATCCCTTTGTCTTCTTAGAGCTCTGTTTACTTCTTGTGGAAGCCTTTGTCCCTGGCCTTTTATCATTAACTTACACACCCAACAGCTATCATCCACTAAAAATAAATTTAAATTGAATTTGGAGAGCTGGGGCAGAGAAGTCTCTCTTGGTTTTTGTTTGACATTAGATCTAGGATAGAGGCTAGGTTTAGCCAGAAGGTAAGGGTTTGGTTGCCACGGTTGTTAAATCTTAGATTTGACTCCTTTTCTGCAGAACAGTGAAATGACTGCTGATGAACTTCAGACTGTTCTGAACAGAGTTGTGTCAAAGAGTAAGTTGCAGTCACTGCTTCATAATTGTGGGGGGAGACTCAAATACACACTCAAATACGTATATCCAGAATTATATTCAAAACCAGTCTGAATAATTCCTAACCGTAACTGCCATTATGCTTTTCTTAAATTGCTTGTTATTGTTGCAACTGATTGCTATACAACTTTCAGAATGATAGCTATATTATTTTGCGTAATAAAGCCAGAAATACAAAAAAATAATAATGCATATTTCTGCAGTTCCTCAGAGTATGCATGAGAATTTTGCATTTATTTAAGTTCATTTCTACTACGAATTCCAGGGTTGTAGTGTGGGTTTAGGTGAAGCATTGATCCAGCTTAGATTAGTTTGTACCTGTTTATATTTTCTTTTTGAAAATGTTTTAAATAAAGTTGTTGTTTTTTGGGGGGGCACCACAAAGAGAACTGATTTGCCACAGAATCAGCTCTTGCCTTGTAATCACATCTTTCTGCTGATGTTCTTGTGAAATAGCACTAGAATCTTCCCTCTGTGAGATGTTCAGCTGTCTTCAAAATGATCTAGCATATTTTTCCTTAACTGCAAAGGCTAACCATGCACAAAGATAACTCCCTAGTGTTTCCAGGGAATGCAGATAAATATTTGTCTAACATATTTTTTGCCTTTTTCATTGTATAGGAAGAGACATTAACAGTGATGGATTCAGCATAAACACCTGCAGGGAGATGATCAGCCTCTTAGATGTATCCTTTAAATGTCACTCTTCTCTACTGGATTTCCCTTGTGAACCTTTTGACTAGATAAGGCAGGGCTTAACGTGTCTCATTTTCCTGGCACATCTGTCTTCACTTGCTGTAGGCATAAAGTGCAGAGTGTCGATCTAAACAGCTTAGTATAGCAAGGTTATTAACCCTTTGTTTCTGGTTGCGTGCTTGGTTTCCCATTGTATTGTGTTCAAGTTCTGCTGGGATGTATGAGAATTTGTCAACGATCCCTGCCTGGATTTAGCTGTGGTTGTGTTGTTATGAACCACCTGGCTGCGATTCTAGTCCGATCATCAGATCATAGGTTGCTCTCCTTTTATACACAAGGAAGATGTACAATGAGATTTGGAGAGCTGTGGGGAGAGTGGGCCAAATGGTTAAACCGGCCCCTCCTATCCACATGGCTCGGCAAATATGGAGGAAATAAAAGCTGGAGGAACTGCCAATCTTCACAGCATGCCCTTTTCTCATAGGAGAGTAATTAACAATGCAAATGATTTAACATGCTAGAATGAATTTAATATAGCTGTGTAGCCAGGTGGCTGGCAGAGAGCCACAGGGAGGGCTGGTAGAGAAGACAAGCTGTAATCTAGAGGGATGAGCTGTGCTGCTTCAGCAGAAAGTCTGCATAGGGAAAATAATGGTCGAACTGGACTCAGGTGCACCCCTAGGGCCTTCAGAACTGTGCACTTAGAAAGAAGCCTTTGGTATCTCAGTCTCCACACCTACATGATGGCTGAAGTCCTCTGTTCTATTTTATTTGTCTTCTTCTGTGCTGGTCTACACCTGCAGCTGAATGTGGGGAAAGGGAGTAAAGACAGGAGAATAGACTCATCCCACTTCAAGTTGCAGATGGGAGAAAAGCAGTGCTCCTTTCCTTCCTCAGAACAAACAAACAAATGCCACAGAAACCTCCAAAGTAGGAAACTGGCACGGCAGAGAGAGGGGCCTGTTCTATTCCATGTGGCAGCCTCTGCAATGCAGGGGTTCTGACCCAAGACAAAAGTTAAGGTTTCAGCAACAGAACAAGGTAAGCCAAAGTCGGATAAGGTCTAGGTCAGGCAGTGCAGTGAAATTTTTCGTAGGGGAGTAGTTAGGGCCAGATGTGCCAGCTTGCGAGGGCACATGGGGGTGAAGGCTTCCACCGGGATTTCCTGATGTTGCATGCGTGAGCATCGCGCCTCCTTCCCTAAGCTGTACAGAAGCTTCCTGGGCTTTGGAAAGAAGGCACTAGGGTTTAATACTTTAATACTCTTAATTTACCGGGAAAATTTAGGGGACTAGCCTAGTTCCTCAAGTCCACTGACTGCACACCACTGAGGTCAGGTGTGGTGAACCACTAGTCTTCCAGATGTTTCTGAACCACAAAGTTTCCCACACCTGGTTTAGATTTCGGTGAGGCAAGATGAGGCCAGAATTTAGTGGTGCCGTATCTAGTTCAGGCTGGAGAGTCCATAAGATCAGAACTTGAATGTTGTTGCCTATTTCAGGCTCAAAATGAGGTTTAAAGAGGAGCTGCTGCTCTAGCTCCACCTTCAGTGAAAGGAGCCTCCTCACTCAAGGGGCCCAGCCTATTTTACAGTCATCACTCTCATAGAGTGAGGGGCAAATTGAGCTTCTGAGTGTGAGTTCTCAGAGTCAGAGGTGGGCAGTGTGACCTTCTTCAGCCAGAGAGCCAGTGTGGTGTAGTGGTTAAGAGCGGTGGGCTTGTAATCTGGTGAACCGGTTTCGCGTCTCCTCTCCTCCACATGCAGCTGCTGGGTGACCTTGGGCTAGTCACACTGAAGTCTGAAGTCTCTCAGCCCCACTCACCTCACAGAGTGTTTGTTGTGGGGGAGGAAGGGAAAGCAGAATGTTAGCCACTTTGAGACTCTCTAGGGTAGTGATAAAGTGGGATATCAAATCCAAGCTCTTCTTCTCTTCTACCATGGAATCCTCTTGTGTTAGGGCTTCCAGGTTGGTATAAGCATCAGGCTCTGACTCTGAAGGCAGTTCCCTCTCCTACTCTGAATCCCTAGCCTGACCCTCCAAAGATGAGGATTCTTGCATTAGCATCATGATAGGGTCACCATGGGGTCCCCCCAGGGAGTTTTCTCATTCAGAAATAGGTAACCTCCACCTACAGCCTCAAGTGGTATGGTTTATTCTGCACTAGGGTTTCTATTACATCAGTCAATGTCTGTGGAGACCAAGCCTCAGTCTCTCCTTTTGTCTTTTTTTTTTAAAAAAATAATATTTATTGAGAATTTTAAGATTACAAAGAAACAAAGAGAAAAAGAAGGAGAAAACAAATAACAATTAAACAATACCAATCAATAAAAATCAAAGTCAAAAAGGAAAAGCAAAACACATAATACATCAAAAGCAAAAAGCAAAAATAAACAAAAAATTAAAAACAGATCCAATATTCCCAAATCCTTAACTGTCATTACCTTATTTCATCGACCTCCTCGCACCTCCCTTTTTTGTATTCTAGTTGTTAATTATCTCAGCAAATCCTTTCCATCTTTCATAATATTCTGTCATTAATTTACCTTAATCTATTTTAACCTTATCTTACCATAAAAACCCTAAAACTTAAAACTTAAATCTTATTTATACCAATTTCTCATGACCATAACATATTCTTACATAATTCTTTTTAACATTTCTGCTAAAGCCAAATAATTTCCTTCCAACATTTTTCTAATACTCATTAATTTTACAAAACTTTCCTAAATAAATTTTTAAAAACTTTCTTCCAATCTTCATCCAACGTCTCTTCCTCCTGGTCTCGGGTTTTGTCAGTCCTTTCTATCCCATCCATCTAGTTCATCAACCTGGTAACCTTATGTCCGAGGCTCTTAAATCTCTTCCATGTCCCTTCCGCAGGTCTTCTTCATATTTATACCTGTACTTTACTTTGTCTTCTGCTCCTTTCACTCGTGGAGACTCCAGCTTGACAATATTTTTGTCCCTTCTCGACAGATCAGCCCCTTTTCCATAGTCAACACTGAACTCCATGTGGTATTTAAAAGCATGTTTCAAGGTCCCTCCAAAGTTAAGGACCCCCACAACTCCGAACTCCTCCCGGCCCAAGGCCAGACTTGAAAGGTCAAAACATCCCTGCATAGGGGGGTCTATCCAACCCCCCATCTCCAAGCCAAACAAGACTCTATCTCTCCAAATCTGGCTTTTTCCAGGTTCATTCGTCAAATCCAACAACTCATGTTCCTGCTGGGCCACAGTTCCCTCCATCTCTGCCTCCCGAGGTCCAGCAACAACCTCCTCCCTCATCTGATCTGTCAGAGCACACTCCTGGATTAATTCCTGAGTGGGTTCTATATATGTACCCACTGCCTGTCCAAAATTTCCGATCGCAACAGTCATCAAATCCGTCTTCTCATGTAACTGTTCCAATAAGGCACTTGTCTTGCAGAAGGCAAGCACCAGAGCCTCCGAGTACATTCTTGTTCAAGGTCAGAGTCTAATCCCACGATCTTAATCTATTGCAGCTGCACAGCTCCCCAGTTCGGATTTAATAACAGTTTCGCAAGATCCCTCTAGGGGGAAAAGCTTCTATTTGTATCCATCTCTCTCTTTTTTTAAAAGCAGATCTAACAACAAAGATATTTTGTCAATATTTTGTTCCTTTTAGATGCGAAAGGGAACAATGGAATCAATATGTTTCTCTTCTTTTAACTATCTGTCAAAAACGTTTGTCTATAGTCAATGAACTTCCCGAGGACGTCTGTCCTGACACCCCGCTCCCAGGTTCAAGACGGTGGAAAATTGCTTTTCTTTACTCTCTCTTCTGCAGGTTTAAACAGTCCAGAAAAAGTTCCCCCCTCTTCTCCTGCTTCCAAGGGGGGTTCAGTAATTTTAAATGATGACAGTTGATCCTTTACAGACGACTTTCTAAACTCTAGCTTGCCGTGTCTTTGCTTTAATCTATCTACAAAAGCGGAAAGGCGGACTTCCTGTTTAGACCTTCCCGCTTCAGTGCCAAATTAAAAGAAATTTCTTAATCCAATTTTCCGTTCTACTCACGGGCAGTTATTTAAAATCCAATTGTCCACAGGAAAAAGTCAGCGCTCTCCGGCAACAGCAATGCGGCTTCACTCCGTGAAAGAAGCAGTCGATTCAGAGCACCGCGCCACTCACCCCACGTCGCTCCGGATCCCCGAAACCAGGTTTCCCCGTGAGTAGGGGAGGCGCAAAAGGTGCCAGCCGAATCCCACGTCCACAGGCTTCTCCCGCCTGTGGTTTTTGATGGGTCTCCACCTCGCTGTGGAGGTTCAGACCCCTTTTTCCACGGAGCGGATTCCTCCCGATCGGAGGAAATCCGCCATTGCCAGAGGCGCCAACCTCTTCAGATCGTATAAATCTTTCACCTTTTACAGTCTCTCCTTTTGTCAAGCCCTTCCCCTCCTCAATCCCTTCTCACTCCTTACACTCTGCACAAACAGCCTATTGTCTTTGCCTTCATATTTTTCTCTGGCCTTCATTTCATTCTGTTCTGCCTGCATATCTCCCATTATCTGTTCATCTAGCCATGAACTCTCTCCACTTTCAAATCTCTCTTTAAATTTCTTTCATGCCAGAGACAGAGAGTGGATTTTAATAACTACTGAAAGTGGTTAAGATGGTGGGGGACCTTTTGCCCTCTGGTTTGAAAACACATTTCTTTGTCGCTCATGGTCTTCTCTGGAACAACACAAGTACCTCTCACTAGACCAAATAATGGGGTGACTGTACACACCAAAGTCAAACATGCTTTTCTTGTACATTTTCTCTACATTTGGAAACAGTAATTCAAGAAGCAAATAAAATCTTTCCTCAGGCACCTTGGCCTCACTTTACCTGCTCTTCCACTGTCTCTGACCCCCCCATCTCTGTTTGATGTACATTATAACCCTCTGGCCACAGATCAGATCATGCCCCTAGCAGAACTGCCTTGTGGGTAAGAAGGACCATGGGCAGTTGTATGGATAAAGGTAAAGATAAAGGGACCCCTGACCATTAGGTCCAGTCGTGACCGACTCTGGGGTTGTGGTGCTCATCTCGCTTTATTGGCCGAGGGAGCCGGCGTACAGCTTCCGGGTCATGTGGCCAGCATGACTAAGCCACTTCTGGGGAACCAGAGCAGCGCACGGAAACGCCGTTTACCTTCCCGCCGGAGCGGTACCTATTTATCTACTTGCACTTCGATGTGCTTTCGAACTGCTAGTTTGCAGGAGCAGGGACCGAGCAACGGGAGCTCACCCCGTTGCAAGGATTCGAACCGCCGACCTTCTGATCGGCAAGTCCTAGGTTCTGTGGTTTAACCCACAGCGCCACCCACGTCCCGTTGTATGGATGCCTCATCTTTAAACAGAGAAAACTAGCTTCATGGCTAGGTTGTGAGAATGAGGATGGGGACCACAAAGTTCTTTGCGCAATTAAAGAGCTGTAGACTTAAGAAACATTTCTCTGGAGTAATGGAGTGCTTCATCACTTACCTCTGCTGCCAGCTTCCCTTCGCTCATTGTGAAGTGAGGCAGAAGCCTGCTTTTAGCAAGATGGCTGTGAGGTCAGTTCTTTGCTCTAATGATGGTTCTAAGAGGCAATGGGTCATTTGCTGGCTTCTGTGATGCCAGAACTGGACACAATGTTTTGCTTATTATGCCAGATCGTTCAACGCAATTTCTTTCAGCAAAAAGGGAAAAGAGAGATGATGTGCTTGGGACAGACCTGCCACTTCTGTCTAGAAGGTCACGGATACCAGATGCAACTCAGCTTTGCTGCAATCACTGGGGTCTGGATTGTACCTATGTAGCCTGCTCCTGTGCAAGCTGACTCATAAATAAGCATACATGCAGAACTGGCACCTTTTTACAAGTGCCATATCGTGTGACAGCACAAAAGCTCTGGAACTCCCTGCAGGTCGCTATCTTGTTTTCAGCACCTGCAAAACTTTTTTTTATTTAAGCAAGTCTGAGTAGATGTACAATTTTGACAGGCATTTTAATGTGCAGGTTTATTTTATTATGTGTTTTGGGGTGGAGAAAGTCTGGCCCATCGGATATAGTTAGTCTCCAACTCCCATCAGCCCCAGCAAACATAAATTAGGCAGAAAGAGAGTTGGGAGTTGAACAGCATCTGAAGGGCCACAGCTTCCTCATCTCTGGTTTTACTTACATTTTGATTTATATTTTTTTGGATGTTGATTTAATCAGTATTTTAAATGTCTATTTTATACAAACCACTTGGAGGTCTTGACGATTAAGTGGCATATAAATATCTTGTTAAATATAAATAAATAAATGTCTTACTCACGGGTAAGTGTGCATATAATCACAGCCTAACAGTGGAGGACTTGGACTTTAAAATTTCAGCGGTGCCTTGTGTGGTGCCAAAATTTGGTGTCCAACCCCACCTTCAGTTGTTCATCATTGTTGTGGTGCCCCCTGCGGTGCCCTCTCAGCTGAACCGGTCACACTCCCTATAATCCGCCTCTGAGCCCAATTTGTATTTCAGCAGTTAATGTCCCAGTAAATATTCTGGGAGCACCTGATATTGTGGCAATGTTAAAGTTAAGAAGGTGTGGTCCTTATCTGTGCTTTGATGGGATAACAGGAGGAGTTGCGGAGGAGTTGCTGATAAGTCATTGTGTTCTTTCTAAAGGAAGAATGCAGCAGAATTGTAGCAAATGGAACTTAGGCTGCTTGAAATGTGTGCAGGTTTTTAAAACAAAAGTATTTTCTGAAAAGGACTTCAAGCAGGTGGCTACTTCTTGTAGTCCAAAGCATGATCTATGTGGCCCTACGAAAATATAATAAATCACTCTGTAAAAGAGAGCGCAGGAATCTTCATCATACCCTTATCTAAGCAAACTGAAAACAGCAGGTGTGCCTCCTCTGGGTGGGTTGAAAGTGCAGGTTCATGCATCAGGTAAAGTGGCACATTTTAATGAGTCATTCATTTTTATCTAGGCCAGAAGTCCTTACTGGCTAAGAGAGAGGGGGGGGGGGGGAAGAGTTATTTGCTTCCACAGATTAGACCTTAACTTTCTGCAGAACCATGGAACTGGTACGTTGGATCTTTTGGAATTCAAGATACTTTGGATGAAGATTCAGAAATATCTGGTAAAACAGCTCTTTTCTAAATGTATTCTTTCTCTTTGATACATAAATGGATGAGAAATGGAGCCCTGAATGCCAGAAATACAGTTGTTGGGGTTTTTTTTGGGGGGGGGGGAAGTATGGAATGTACATGTAATGGTCCCAAGGGTAGGAAATAGTCTTGTATCCCATGGACAGCTAAGGATGTGGGTGGTGCTGTGGGTTAAACCACAGAGACTAAGGATTCATGGGGTATCTTGGGAATTGTAGTTTGTTAAAGATGCTGGGAATTGTAGCTGTGTGAGTTTAGCACCCTTAATGAACTACAGTCATGTGACCCTATTTCTTTTTTTTAATGGAAGCTGGGAGTCATGGGAATAACAATAATATTAATAATTTTATTTGTACCCTGCCCATCTGATTGGGTTGCCCCAGCCACTTTGAGAGGCTTCCAACATATATAAAACATAACAAAAACCTCCCTATACAGGGCTGCCTTCAAGTGTCTTCTAAAGACTGTATTCCACATTCCACAGGCATTCCACAGGACAGGTGCCACTACTGAGAAGGCCCCCTGCCTGGTTCTCTGTGTCTGCAGGCTACCTCACTTGTCAGAGGCAGATTGCCTCTGAAAACCAGTTGCTGGCCAACAAAAGTAGGGGAAATGCTGTTGCCTCTGGGTTCGAAATGCACGCTTCCTTCCCCTAGGCCTCTGATTGGTCACTCTGAGAAGAGGATACTGGACTCAGTTAGGCCTTGGGCCTAATTCCTCACATCCTTAATAACTGAGAGTAGGATGGGAGAATGCTAAATGTCTTCCCACTGTTAGTTTGGCACCTGCCACACACATGAAAATGACATGAAAATCATGCTACTTATATGCAACTATATTTCTTATCGGGCCCTCGGTACTCAACATTTTGATTACTTTTGCAGTAGTGGATGAAAGTGTGAAAGAACAACTGTGGCAGAACTTCCTACTGAGTTACAGGCCAGAATAGCTTCTAATTACACAGCTAGAGCTGGATAAGAAGCCATTTGGCACCGAGAACTGTCTGTTGTTCTTTTAAAGTATTAATCTCAATAGAGTTTTATATTACAGCCTTTGCCAGAGGAAGGGGGTTATTTCTCAAAGGCCCGTTTGCCATGTGGGTGGGCAAGTTGCCAGCCCTGTGGGAGCCATTTCCCAGGGCACACAGCTTGCTATTAGTTAATTGAATTCCTCCCTCTCCTTCAGTCATTAACGCTTTCAGAGAGAGGAGGCTCCCTTGCCAGGCATGAGCAGCAGTGAATATCCTAGCCAAACTGATAGGTCTTCTAAAATTATCCTAAAATGACAACCAACAGCCTTCCCTATTTCTTTGGCTTAGGAAATCTATAAGAAAGTGGATACTGACTTTTCCGGGACCATAGATGCACATGAAATGAGAAATGCTCTCACGGAAGCAGGTCAGTATCCAAAATGTAGAGATGCGGGATAAATCCAACTTTTTTTTGAATTGGAACAAGAAGCCACCTAATGTGCATTTCTTGAATCAATATATGGTGCAGAAAACAGTTCTCCTGTGAACTTTGCACTTCTCTGAATTTTGCAATGCAGTCGTCGAACCAATCACTGGGTGCAAAATGCATATTTTCAGGGGAAATGTGCATAAATATGCATACCTTAATGAAAACAACATAGAAAGGTGTATTATATTAGGGGAAATTTCTTGCAAAAATGTGTATACAGTCATACCTCGGGTTACAGACGCTTCAGGTTGCGTTTTTTCGGGTTACGGACCGCCGTACCGGAGGCTCCCTTGTACCGGAATGGGTTACTTCCGGGTTTCGGCGGTCACACATGCACAGAAGCGCTAAATTGCGCTTTGTGCATACACAGAAGCGCCAAATCGCAACCTGCGCGTGCGCAGACACACCGCTGCGGATTGCGAACGTGCATCCCGCATGGATCACATTCGCAACCCAAGTGTCCACTGTATTAGTCAAAACTATATACAAGAATGCAGTAGCACCCAGGGTGGGGCAGGTTTTCCACCCCCTGGTGGGCTGGGCAGCTGAGGTGTGGGTGCACCTCAGCCTCCTTGCCCATTGCCCCCATCTACCTGTCCACTAGTCCAACCCACCTGCCACTGTTCCTCAGCTGCCAGGGCACTGTGCGTGTCGTGGGGCCCCCTGATTGCTCTCCCTCAAAAATGTGTGCCTGGGGCCACCCCCCTGCCCCGCATACTACGACTCTGCAAGTAGGTGTATATGCGGAGAAATTTGCATTAACATGCATTTCCATGATTTTGTTTTTTAAAGAGAGAAATAAATTTAAGATGGGAAACAGAAAAATTGAAACTGACTGATTTGTCCATCCCTACTGTGTGCCAGTGGTCTTTTGTGTGACCTCTAAGGTACCCAATCCTCCATGTCAAGGAATCTTTTACATCTGCCATAGAGCTCAAGTGTATTGCAAATGATTCTGGGACATGTTCTTAGATGCCCATTCATATGAGGCACAGACTGGGCTTGTTGGGCCTCATAATTAGCCTGCTTGAATTGAGAATATAGAATCATAGAATCATAGAATCATAGAATCATAGAGTTGGAAGAGACCACAAGGGCCATCGAGTCCAACCCCCTGCCAAGCAGGAAACACCATCAGAGCACTCCTGACATATGGTTGTCAAGACTCTGCTTAAAGACCTCCAAAGAAGGAGACTCCACCACACTCCTTGGCAGCAAATTCCACTGTCGAACAGCTCTTACTGTCAGGAAGTTCTTCCTAATGTTTAGGTGGAATCTTCTTTCTTGTAGTTTGGATCCATTGCTCCGTGTCCGCTTCTCTGGAGCAGCAGAAAACAACCTTTCTCCCTCCTCTATGTGACATCCTTTTATATATTTGAACATGGCTATCATATCACCCCTTAACCTCCTCTTCTCCAGGCTAAACATGCCCAGCTCCCTTAGCCGTTCCTCATAAGGCATCGTTTCCAGGCCTTTGACCATTTTGGTTGCCCTCCTCTGGACACATTCCAGTTTGTCAATGTCCTTCTTGAACTGTGGTGCCCAGAACTGGACACAGTACTCCAGGTGAGGTCTGACCAGAGCAGAATACAGTGGCACTATTACTTCCCTTGATCTAGATGCTATACTCCTATTGATGCAGCCCAGAATTGCATTGGCTTTTTAGCTGCCGCGTCACACTGTTGGCTCATGTCAAGTTTGTGGTCAACCAAGACTCCTAGATCCTTTTCACATGTACTGCTCTCAAGCCAGGTGTCCCCATCTTGTATTTGTGCCTCTCATTTTTTTGCCCAAGTGCAATACTTTACATTTCTCTCTGTTAAAATTCATCTTGTTTGTTTTGGCCCAGTTCTCTAATCTGTCAAGGTCGTTTTGAAGTGTGATCCTGTCCTCTGGGGTGTTAGCCACCCCTCCCAATTTGGTGTCATCTGCAAATTTGATCAGGATGCCCTTGAGTCCATCATCCAAGTCATTGATAAAGATGTTGAATAAGACCGGGCCCAAGACAGAACCCTGTGGCACCCCACTAGTCACTCTTCTCCAGGATGAAGAGGAACCATTGATGAGCACCCTTTGGGTTCGGTCAGTCAGCCAGTTACAAATCCACTGAGTGGTAGCATAGTCAAGACCACATTTTACCAGCTTCTTTACAAGAATATCATGAGGCACCTTGTCAAATGCCTTGCTGAAATCAAGGTAGGCTACATCCACTGCGTTCCCTTCATCTACCAGGCTTGTAATTCTGTCAAAAAACGAGATCAGGTTAGTCTGACATGACTTATTTTTCAGAAATCCATGCTGACTATTGGTGATCACAGCATTCCTTTCTAGGTGCTCACAGACTGTTTGCTTAATGATCTGCTCCAGAATCTTCCCTGGTATTGATGTCAGACTGACTGGGCGGTAATTATTTGGGTCCTCTCTTTTCCCTTTTTGAAAATAGGGACAACATTTGCCCTCCTCCAGTCTGCCGGGACTTCGCCTGTTCTCCAGGAATTCTCAAAGATGACTGCCAGTGTTTCTGAGATCACATCTGCCAGTTCTTTTAATACTCTTGGATGCAGTTCATCTGGCCCTGGAGACTTGAATACATAATATATATGGCCCTGGAGACTTGAATACATAATATATGACTCAGAACATCCCCAGCAGCAGACTCAGGCAGCTGTGCTTCGACAGAGATGGCGGACAGCGTGCTGGTGACGGCAAGTCTATATTACAGGGAAACTTTCAGGAATTAGGGCCTTGCAACAAAATGTTGCCACATGGAATGCTTCTGTTTGGCACTCCTGACACTCTATTCCACCCCCATTCTTTTCCTTGATTCTCTCTCCAGCCATTGGTCACCTTTCTATGCACCCTGCGCATGCTCAGCCCTCATTGGACCCCACCTGGGATATTTCCCCTCCATTTCTGGGTTTTTGGAAGGGGGAGAAGACATGCAGGTGCCAATCCCAGCTACATTAAATTTTTTCTCTATTGATCTCTATGGGCATCTCTCATTTAAGTCCCTGAGGACATATGAAAATGTGAACTATTGCGTGGCCTATCTAAACAGCGGCATAACTGTCGCTACCTTTTTTATGTCCAGCTGTTTCTTCCTCCATCCTCTTTTCCCAGCCACGACATTGCCAGCGCAAAGACTGCAGTGGTTTCTGCAGGGGTGAGAAGGAGGCATCAGATCACCCTCTCCAAGGCTGTACTTCTCCCGGTGCCCTTGGAGAGGAACATTCCATGTTTCATGTGACAGCTGGGGCATCCTCCCAGGGCCCATAGTGGGACCAGTGTCTCTTCTCATGCAGGTCATATGCATCAGCTTCACTTGGCTCCAATCCTCCTTTCTCCCCTCACAATACCCTCTGCAAACTGAGGATAATATTTCAAGCATTTGATGAAGTGGACTGTAGTCTACAAAAGCTTATGCTACAAAGCATCTATTAATCTTTAAAGTGCCACAAGGATCTTTGTTGTTTCTATAGGGGGTGGATGGGGACCATCTGGTCTTTGGGGGGGGGGGCAGATTATCGCCACAATATGGGGAATTGCTGACTTTCCAGCAAATGTGTTCCTCCATTCTGGCCAGCAAACTGTGGCTTCAGCCTCGGCTTAAATGAAGCTTTAAGAAATGGATAGGAAGTATACCCTGTGCATGAAACTGACTCCCTGCAATGGATTTCGTTTGGCTGGAGCCCCAGGAGTGCATTAAGACTTCACTAATTAGGTGCTTCTCTTCTGAACATAGGTCAAGGGAATTCCTGTGAATTGGCATTAAAATGTGTCATTTTAGAAAACATTATGAGGGAGTGTTAGTTCTGTTACCTCTTGAGAACAATGGGGACTGGGAAGGAGAGCATAATAGACCAACAAACCTGCCAGGATGGAATAGCTAATACTTCTTCATCACTGTCTGTCTGCAGCTGTTTTGTTGTTGTTGTTTGTTGTTATTCATTTCATTTCTATACTGCTTTATATTTTAAAGAAAAATATCTCAAAGTGGTTTACAACACATCAAAACATTGTATAAAACAATCCAGAATGAAACAAATGCAAGTTTCAAGGAAAATATTTCAATTTCTTCTCCAAGTGACATTTTGCTTTTACCACATTTATTTACATGCTTAATTTATATAGCTGCCCCATAGCAGAAGTACTATAAACAGCACAAATAAGGTGCAATGAAACAGAACGGTGTCGGTCAACACCAAACATTGTGTTACTCATGCCTGGCTTTCCTTTCCACATAGGCTTCACTCTTAACAACAAAATCCAGCACAGTATAGCTCTCCGTTATGCTGGCAGCAAGATGACCATTGACTTTGATGGCTTCGTGGCCTGCATGATTCGCCTAGAGACTCTCTTCAGTAAGTCTTCCTGAAGTAAAAGGAGGTAGAGTGATAGAAAATACTCTGGAGTGTCTCCCTTACCTCCACCCTGGCTTTTCTCTAACAAGCAAAAGAGCTGTCCCTATTTTTAACCTGAGCACAAACAACTGCGTGTCAAGGAAAAAGGGACCAAAATGTCTGTAATTTGCCAAATTAGATAAGTAACCAACTACTCCCAAGCTAGTGTAAGATCCCAAAGCCTGTCAGACTCTGCTTTTGACAAAACAAATACAGGGACTCAGATGCAGAAGACATTCTATCCCCCACAAGGTCTAATAGGATCTGCCAAAGGGATTGATTTGCAAACCTCACCCAGTGTGTGACTGCCATCTTGCTATGCAGAGAATGGTGTAGCTGCCCAAATATGCCAGTTTAGGTGCTTTCCAGACAAGGATTGCACAAGAATATACAATGACCAGATCATCTTAATTGCATTCCTCCCCATGCCCCATCTAGTGTCTCTGCTATAGGGAAACCACTTTTCCAATCTCATTTTCATTCAAGATAGTGCAGGTGCTCCGTTGTGAATGGAATAGGCAATGTGACTGTGAGAATCCATAGACACCTGCTGGATGCTATCTGTGACATCCCCAGTGACCAGCAGCTCAATTCTTCCAACTTTCATGCCTTCGCTGTTTTGCCATTTTATAAGTATTTAAAATACTTTTTAAAAACACACAAAAAACCTGTCTTTGGAAGCTGAGCACTCTCTTATATACCACCACAGCTGGAAGTACTAAGTCAACCCTTTAAAGTTACCAACACCATAGGAATATGTCTCATACCAGACCACTGTCCCATCTAGCTTAGTGTTGTCTACACTGACTGGCAGTGGACCTCCAGGGTTTCAGGTGGGACATTTTCTCAGCCATACCTGAGGATAGTAGAGATTCAGTCTGGGATTTGGGACAAAGCAAACCCTTTGTCCCACAGCTGATAAAACTATGCACTGAAATAACCTGATTTGAAGAAGCCAAGTTCTCGGAATTGTGCCCCATCCCCAGGTATTGTATTTCTCATGTACCAAATGCTACTGTTTAACTATAACACCTGCTCTTTTTTTGCCACCCAGAAATGTTTCAGATGCTAGACAAGGATAAGCATGGAGTTGTCCAGCTCTCTCTGGCTGAGGTAATGATGATTGAATTAAGCTTCTGCACAGTTGCATTATGACAGATTGGTGGTAATAAGATGCCCGAATAAAATCACCACTGCTTTTAAATCACACCTATTTATTACTATTTCTAGTAGTACTGATGCAGCTAGGATACCTGTTAAAACCACAGCTCGGCATGTTAAGATGGAGAGCACATCTTAGTGGATAAGCTCACACATTATATAATTCACTGACTGGAATATATTTGGATGCATGAGGTAGAATCCTGGGTAGTCTTTAGCCCCAGTAGATATTAAGATCAAGGTGGCAATAAAGAGCCAAGTTCTAGCCCTTTTAACCATGCATTCATCTTTTTTCTCCTTTGGGAGCAATGTGTGCTCTCATTACTACTCAACTGACAGGCACTAGCAGCACACATTCATATACTTTGTACTAATGAAGCAAGCCTCATTGAAGGGACGCTTCCACCACCAGCCAGCTGATTGGAGCTGGGAGTGCACCTTCAGTGGAGGTCATTGTAACAACCCACCAGCTGATTGGCAGTCACACCAATCCCTTTGAAATTTGATGGGATACATGACGTCAGGTGATTGACAGGGGGTCTGTCCCACCCACCTGGCAAACTTGGGCTGCACTGGTCGGCTCCATCTGCTAGCTCAAAGATAGGGAATCTTTTTCTGCATTCCCTTGGGGATAATTTGCCAGGGCTTCATGTAACTGGTGGGCAGGCCCCAAACCATAAATGGACAGAACAACTATTTTCTTCCGTTTTTTTTTGTCTCTCCCTTTTCCTTTCCACCCAGTGGGTTGCCAGAGTTGGGACATCCTTGCCAGAGCCCAGAACTGATTGTTCGCAAGAGTTTTCTCCTCTTATCCTTCCATTGCTTGATCTGTTCCAGCTTCTCCATCTCCTGCGCTCCTTTCTCTCTCCAGTTCCCTCTTTCCTGGCTTGAAATGAGGTCAAAGGCTGCAGGTTGCCCACACCTGTACTGGCCTAGGACCCTCGTACCTACGGGACTGCCTCTCTCGGTATGCCCCACGGAGAGCCTCAAGGTCCATAAATAGCAACACCCTAGATGTTCCGGGCCCTAAGGAAGTTAGATTAGCCTCAACCAGAGCCAGGGCCTTTTCAACGCTCTGCCTCATGAGACCAAGGCCCTGCAGGATCTGATTTCTTTCCGCAGGGCCTGTAAGACAGAGTTATTCTGCCTGGCCTTTGGCTTAGAATCAGTTTGATTCCCCCCCCCCTTCTTTTTTCCTTTCTCTTCCTGTGAAGAAGCTGCATTTTAATGTTTTAATGTTGTAATTTAATCTTGTTTTTTAAGTTGTATTTTAATCAACTTGTTTTTATTATTGGTTGTTAGCCCCCCCTGCGCCCGGTCTTGGCTGGGGAGGGCGGGGTATAAATAAATTATTATTATTATTATTATTATTATTATTATACAAGCCAGGTGTTGTAAACAAGGATGAGTAGGTGAGCAATGGTCGCAGCAACAGCGATGAGAGTCTGGAATGGGATTCTCTGGCTTCAGCAGCTGACAAAACCCAAAACTGGAGGCCTTCATAAGCTTCAGCATGAATTTCTGCTTTCTTCTGAGCAAAAATGGCTAGAATTGGGCTCCGAGTTTTTAAAGCCAAAAACAATAATGCTGTCAGAGCTAGTATTGTCAAATTCATCAGGAAAACGTAGGCTATATATGGACAGCAATTCATTTTGTCACATAGGGAGCAGGATATAACTATATTTCTGTTATGATCACTCTGTGTTCATCTTTGTTATCCACCTTCAAAGGGAATGAGACAAAACAACTGAAAACGTGCATGAGGGAAGCAGTTCTTGCCCAGAATGAGGTGAAAATAAGTGACCTGATAGGTCTTAGCAATGATCTAGATGTTATGAGTGAGGATTCTTTTTTTTCTTATTTTGGCTAGAGTACAAAAGATGTCAGGGCCTGCTGTAGTCAGAGAAAGGAACCTTGCTGTGAAACCATAATGAAAGCCACATCCATCAGAGATGTTAGGAGCATTCAGTTTTATTTAATGGCATTTGGGAAGCAGACTCTGACCTACCTTTTCTTCTGTCAGTCAGCAAGAAATTTGATGCGTTTTCATGCGATATGTCTCCTACCCAGCTCCCAATCTAGTGGGATTATTCACCCTAGGTGAAATGCCAACAACTGTCACTGTCCTGTAGCTCAATAATTTTCAGGCTTGCTAATCTGTTTTGGACCCTCACTGCCACCGCCACCCGTTCCTGTAATTTCCTGGGTCTGCGGGTGTGCAGAAGGTTGATTCTGGCCAGAAAAATGTAGAATGGGGCTTTGGGTGATCCTTCCAAGTGCTGTGCATCTGGTGTGGCAGGGCATGCGCATCATGCAATTCAAGTGAGTAACATGAAGCTTGGGGGAATTGTGGAAAAGATCTAAGCTACACTGGCAGGAGGTTGAATCACACGAGTCTCTAGGTACCAATGAGGCCTATTACATGCCTCCCAATATGGACTCAACTGCTCAGAAGTTCCCATATATCAAACCAGACCTGTTCCATCTAGCTCAATACTGTCTGCATTGACTGATGGCAGTTTTCCCAGGGTTTTGGACAGAGGGCTTTACCAGCCCTACCTGGAGATCCTAGGGATTGAGCTTGGGCCCTTCTGTATGCAAAGCATTCTGTTCTAATGGAGCCTGATTCATTGGGGGAAATGGGGCAATGTCCCCCTACCTCAGTTTGCCTGTAGCCAGCCCACACCTGCCTGCCTTCTTACTTAAAACCATTCTAGGGCAGGGCTGGATTAAGGTTTGATGAGGCCCTAAGCTACTGAAGGTAATGAGGCCCTTTATAGGTCTAGCTGTCCTTTGTCAACAACAAATTGTCGTTGTTTTTTGTGTTGAGTATATGCTATATGGTAATTTTGGGGAGCAGGCTAGCAGGCGGGGCCCATTACTTACATCATAGGAGCCTACACAACACTGTTGTTTTGTGTAGGTTTTATTTTATTTGTTTTTTATCTTATATTTTGAAAATGTACATCCAGGTTTTTTTCCTTTATTTTTTTGGGGGTCCCCCAAGAGAATGGGGCCCTAAGCTATAGCTTGTTTAGCTTATACGTAAATCTGGCACTGGTCTAGGGGCTGGCACTGGGTGTCAGCTTCTTCTTCCTTAGTCTGAGTTTTGCCATTACAGAACTCAGTAGGGAGGAAGACGGGGTGAAAACCAGAATTAGTTGGCTGTGCTTGTCATTGGCTCTTACTCCACCTGCTGTCTCCCTGCCTTACACATCACCACCAGTCTCGATGGCCACCAGTGAGTATTCATCGGCTTTGTCCCTTTCCACAGATTAAGTGGTACAGCCAAAATGGTTCCCTTCAGAATCAGGACTACTGACTCTTGTTTGCAGACTCTTAGATCCCATGATGCAGCAGCAGCAGCAGCAGCTCTACCAAGATGGAACCAGAGAAAACTTTGGTGAAGCTTTGAACATGTCCAAACAGATGCCCTAAGTAAGTTCTAACAGTTATGTTCTCTCTTTCTCTCCCAGTGGCTGTGCTGCACATTGGTTTAAGACGGCGTTTTGCAAGTCATCTGAGAGCTCCACAACTAGCACTTCTACAGATAAGCTCCTACAAAGCAGTTGAAAGATATGAAGAAGGAAATCAATTTCTGTGCTTGGCAATACTTTTTAATGTAAACAGGTCATTCAGAAAAATAAACACATCTATTTGGAAACAATGACTTGCTATCATTCCCTCTGTTTCTGATGTTCAGATTGTGGGTGCCGTTGCTTAGGTAGCCAAAATGGCTGCACTCTCACACAAGAGGGAGTTAGCCTAATGACCAGAAGGGCTGGCTTACGATAAGTAACTGAATACAGGCACATGACCCATTTAAGGAACCCCTATCATAAGACCCGAGTCTGAAATTACCGGTACCTTACTTCCCCACAGCTTGGGAAAACCCCAAAGTCTGTAGAAGTAGAAAGAATCTTTTGGGGATAAGCTCTAATCCCCCCCCCCAAAAAAAAACCACATCTCAATGAGGATTAAGTATATGCAACACATCAGGCTGCAACTTTTGGGCTGCAGGTCCCACTTGAAACGAAAGTATCATCATATTGTAGGATTCTCAAGCTTCAAAACAGTGATTTGATTCCAAATACATAGCATGGAAGGAAGTAAACAAATGTGAGTTCAGTCAGGCTCCTTTCTTTCTGTCAGAACAGTCAGAAACTTGCATCTTGCAAGGCTCTTCTTTACAGTTCATGCATTCCATACTTTTGTTTGTAGGTTCTGATATTACAACTGACCCCTTTTTGAGACATGACTCTACATGTTTTCAAAAGGTGAAAAAATGCAGCATCTATATCAAGCAGCTCTGAGACAGGGCATAGAGACAAAGGCAGAAAGCAAAATGGGGCAGTGAGAGATGAACTTGCAGTTCATGCAAGGCAGGAGATGGCTGGAGTAAAACTTTGCAGAAAAAAACACCAGACATTCAGGAGGGATTGACAGACAATGGCCAGATGGTGGTCTGCTTCTTGGCACCAGCTCCCTCAGAAGCAACAGACATCAAGTCTTGGAGCTTTGAACAGCCAACAAACTCTGGACAAGTGTGTGGTCTCCAGCTCCATACAGCAAAATCATTTAGCTTCCTAGAGTGCCCTCTAGCCTGTTAGTCCAGTAGAGGGACTGGGATGGACCAGCTTGACCTCATATTGGGGTCTTCTGCAATCCTGGCCAGAATCAAGGAACAGATCCATCCTATGCACCACATATGGATAGCTCCTTTTAGAACAGGAAATTAAAAGTAATATATGGAAGTGTTGCACTGTAGGAAGGATGCATGACTTGGCGCTCCCAGCTTCACTTCTCCTTCTCAGTTGATTAAAAAATTGCTGCAACTTCACATTGTTTGTTTCCTTCATTTGTTAAGGAATGAGGACATTGTCATGCCTCCTTTCATCATAAATATTTCAGAGCACTATGCACATCAAATTTCCTTAACAACATAAAGTGCAATAAAATACAATCAGCACAAAAGCATCAATCACAGGGAAATAATAAAACTGATACACCATTTGGATCAGATTCTCAAGCTTTCGTTTAGTTATTGGACTTTGGTTCAACGTTATTGCTAACCCATTAAACAGCCTGGTGCGCTCTGTTTTGCTTACATATTCACAATCTTACATTCTCAATCATCCCTTTGCTCCCTTGTCACCTTCCATCTTAAAAATAAATATGACTGAAAAACCCAATCAGGATGCGGTGGATCTTCCTCAAAGGGACTGTGCAATCAGCTTGTTTGATTTGTGGCTGTTGTATTTGGGTAAGGATGACGTAACGGGAAAGATGATAAAATGTGACAGCAAATCTGCAAGCAAATATGGGCTGGCGCAATCTAATCAAAAGAAACAAAAACTTGTTCAGTGCGAATCTGTTAATTAAATGCTGAGGAGGCGGTGCAAGAACAAGCACAGGGAGTTTAATCATACATCCACATTGCTGACAGGTCAGGACAGTGCTCCTCCAGCACACCTGAGAGTGGCAAAGCTAGCTTAGGAGGCCAAGCTATGCAGCACAAACAACTCCTCCACACCTTACCCACACCCCCAACACCTGCCTCCTGGTGCAGCTGCCTCACTTTGCCTAATGCACACATGCACACAGGGTACACTGTAAACAGTGATATCAGAAGGAAATGAGACGGAATCTACCTGATTTGTGCTTCCCCAAACAATAAGTGACCCAAAACATAGCTAGCCTTCAAAATTTCCTCTTCTCTAAATTTGCAATGCAGTTTTCCAACCAAATAATGCTTACAAAAAGGCATATATCAGGGGAAAGTGTGCATAAAGGCGATTTTGGTGAAAATAACACACAGAAATACACTGTATTGCATATGAAAATATAGATATTAGGCAAGATTGCATACAAATATTTGTAGAGACTAGGGTGATGTCTGCTCTTTCCAGGAACTCTTCTCATTGGGAGACTTTTGTGGGTGTGCTGAGAGTTTGTTTGGACCCTGGTTGAGAATCTAGAGGTTGAGAGGGAGGGTGTGTCAGAAGGAAAATGAATTGATACTGATTTTTATATATTAGTAATTGTGTTTTAATGTAACATATTTATATGCTGTGTATTTTTGTAATATTTTAGGTTGTTGCTTCTTTTTCGTACACTGCTTAGAGATGTTTTTTAACATATTAAGAGGTATAGAAATTAAATAATCCACAATCAATCCATCCAATCTGCAGCCTGACGCTGACTGACTCAAGCTATTGACCTTCAGGTTACTCCCTGCCTGTCTGGCTTTGTGTGCCTTGGATAAACAGTTTTGCCTGATTAAGAGAGGACACTGGCATACGGCTGAGTTGGATTTCATGATGACTGGGTAATAATCGCACTGCACCAAGCACCTTATCATTGTTACCGCCACAAAGCAGGTATACAGTAGTACCTTGGGTTACAGACTCTTCAGGTTACAGACGCTTCAGGTTACAGACTCCATGAACCCAGAAATAGTATCTTGGGTTAAGAACTTTACCTCAGGATGAGAACAGAAATTGCGCGGCGGCGGTGCGGCGACGGCGCAGCGGTGGCAGCGGGAGGCCGCATTAGCTAAAGTGGTACATCAGGTTAAGAATAGTTTCAGGTTAAGAACGGACCTCCAGAACGAATTAACCTGAGGTACCACTGCACAGGGTTAATGGGACTAAGTGTCTGTTTTAGGCAAAGAAAACAGCAGTGCCTTCACAACTTAAATCCAGGCATGTGTCATTGGCGGATGAGAGGAGCTCAACTCCAAAGGGGCCTGCAATTCCCCCATCAAGCCCTGTTTACCCCAGGAGTCTAAGGATCTCCTTCCAGCTTTGCGCCAGCTCCAGGAATTTCCTTGCCTCCCCCCGCCAACTCTGTAGCATAGGGAGCCACCAGCAGGCAGTTCCGCATTCTTTTTCTCCTTACACCTGCTGTTTGTAAAAGCTTATTCTCAGTCATGAAGGCACCTCGTAGCAGGTCTGAGAAGAGTCAAGCACATACAAAATGGATGTTCCTATTCCTTTTCTCTTCATCAGGCAAGATATCCTAATTGCATTATTGCTTACACCCATCTCAGTAGCATCCTCTCCCCCACCTATTCCGGCAGAGTATCATGTTGTACTCCATCGTCCTTTATCTTCGGAAGACAAGCCCTTCTGGAGGAAGCACGGCTCTTTTTGTTTGTGCTTTGAGCACAGAACTCAGGTAGCTTGTGTCAGACAGCCGCTGAAAAGCAAGGGCTCTTCATGGCATCTGCTTTCCCTTTCCTCTCGAGGCTGCATCTGCGAGAAGCTGATTGAGGCTGTCGTGCGTCTCTTCATCACACTACGAACTGAACAAGTCGGTGCTCATCAATCCCTCTTCTCTTTATAGTATTCATAACTTGCTTCCCCAAATGCCCTGCAAGCCACTTCAACACGACACCCAACAGAATGGGGCAAGCTTGGGTGAAGGAGCCAAGGATCTCCTAGGCCAGAGGTGGGGAACTTTAAGCCTGAGGGCCAAATGTGGTTGTAGAAACCTCTGCTGTTTGCATATCTGAAACGTGGCCTACTGTACAAAGGTAAGAAGTACATCCATTGCCCAACCCACTTTTGCCTCTGGCAACGCCCACCACTCCAGCCTCCAGTGAGAGCTGGACCGTAAAGAAGTCTGATCGCCGAAGAATTGACGCTTTAGAATTATGGTGCTGGAGGAGACTCTTGAGAGTCCCATGGACTGCAAGAAGATCAAACCTCTCCATTCTGAAGGAAATCAGCCCTGAGTGCTCACTGGAAGGACACATCCTGAAGCTGAGGCTCCAATACTTTGGCCACCTTTGGAAGAGAGTGGACTCTCCTTCCCTAGAGGTTTAAAAGCAGAGGTTGGCTGGCCACCAGCCTGGGATGCTATAGCAGCCGATTTCCTGCAGTGGCAGCAAGTTGGACTAGACCTTTGAGGTACCTCCCAACTGTATGATTGTAAGGCAAACAGCATGATCAACAAAGGCTTTAGCATAAGTTCTCCCTTGGTGACCTCAGTTGCTCTCCTTTGGTGGTAGTGTTAACTCTCTGTTGTTATTTCCTTAGTGGGATTTTAAGAGCACTGGGTCTCCATGTTGTCGCATCACAAAGGAGTGAGTCAGAAGGCAGAACCAATGTGGCAGGCCTTCCTTTCAACCTTACTTCATTCAAAATAATGGTTAGTAGTGATTCAACAAGTACGTGAGAATTTGGCCTAATTTTCAAGGATATATAATAGCTAGGTATTCCTTTGAATTTCTATTTGATTCTTCTCTTCAGTATCTCTTTGCTAGCTTCTCATTGGTTCAGTCAAACATAATACAGGATTATCTGCTTGAGTGAGGTCTTCTGGCTGTTGCATGCCTCACTAAAGCACATAATTATACATTGTCAAAAACTAAGGCATGATTCTGGGATTGCACAAATGTTGCACTGGCATTACAAGCAGAAAAACCAGCATGACTGTTTAGGATAAGGGATTATCCTAGGGATAAAAGAGTTGGTGATGAGATACAAGGTTAACTCGCCATGCTGTGGTAAGGCCTTAAAACACACACACACACACACACACACACACACACACACATCTTTAGAGTCCACTGTTTTGGTTCATTATTGTGTAGTCCATATGCCAGCAGTACTCTTAAACTGCTAATCTGATTCTTCAGTGTGTATGTAGCCCTGT